GTTTTTTCTGCATTTTGACATTTTACATTATTTTCATCACGAACCACACTCTAGTACTTGTTTATGAATGACATTTTTGTAGATGACTACAAATAGTTTTTATTGGAACAGGAGAACCTCGATAACAAGACTGCCTTGGATATTATAAAATTAGATTTGTTATCAAGGTTGACTTGTTATTAAGATTTGCGATAACATAATGTTTAAAATGAAATCTAGGGGATTTGGAAACGGCACTTGTTATCAAGGGCGACTTGTTATCGAGGTTCCACGTATCTGTTCACATCCTATACTACTTATGGACATAAAATCGTGCTCTATTTCTATCTAAATCCGTTGCAAACTCGAAAATGTGGCTCAACTCTTTAAAATGAGTAAATAAAGTAAAAGTTTGATGATTGGTAAGATACGCAGTGAGAAAGGCCACTGTTCGTCCGTTCTAATCCCTTGTTTACAAACAACACTTTCGTTCGGAGTTACAATATTAATCTTGTCATTAGCAATAAGTTATCATTGTAACACCCTGTAGATTAGCTAAGGTCGTAGTGAGTTACTATTTTCCTCAATAATTTTTTACAATGAAATAGGTTTCAGTTTTTTTGAACAGAGGGGTTACTAATGATATGGGCCGTTAGTTTTCCAGTGAGGAGTCTTACCATTGCAAACTTAGGTGACCTATTTATGTATTTTTTTAAGTGTTAGAATTGTTGAATGTTTACTATAACATTTCATACTTTACTGTAGCAGAAAATAATGTTTTATAAATTATTACTTTTAGCTCGGAACACCTGATTGAGATTTAACTTTATGAAAATAATTTTATACTTTACAAAACTGTTGGTTACAAATCATCAAATTAAATATGCTTCATTGAACTACAAATCAATGTTGTAAATCAATGTTAAAAATACAAACGTAAGAATTAAGAATAATATTGATTCAAATGGCATTCATACAACCTTTGTAGAATGCCTTATACGAACGAAATGTTAGTTGACGTGCTGCTTATCTCTGACACACTAGGGTAAGGTCCAATGCATTTCTTTGGCGATAGCAGAGTCGATGGAATAGTTGGTAATTTCTCCAACAATCGTCATTTATACGTTTCGCATTTTAATCGTTCATTTGTCTAGTTTGCTTTCACATTGTTTCCAAGTTGGAGCCGGTTGCTAAGGAGATTAATGTGAATTTTTCACAACTGGTTATCCTGAAGATCGGTGTCAAGACTTTTCCCCCAGGAAGATCAAGGGCATGACTTATCTATACATGTTTTATCAACAATAAGCAACAATAATGGAATAAGATTGATCAAAAATAAGTAATTCACATAATTAAATGACTTATCAACAAAAGGGAAGATCAAGGGCTTGACTTATCCATACATGTTTGATCAATAATAAGTTACACAGATCAATGAAATGACTTATCAACAATACAAAAGATCAAAGTTTTAACTTGTACTAGCCTACATTGATTGATCAACAGTAATTCGTCCACATAATGGAATGACTTATCAACAAAAATGTAGATCAAGGGCTTGAATATCCATACATGGTTGATCAAAAATAAGTTACACTAATCGATGGAATGACTTATACGCAATTCAAAAGATCAAGGGTTTTACAGTACTTAATTGTACTAAATTGATTATTCAACAATAGTCATCCAAATAATGGAATAACTCATCCGTTATGCACAGTACAAAAGATCAAAAGTATGACTCAACCCACGAAGAACTGCCTTACTTCTCTGTGCTTATCCGAATAGACATGCTTGACTTACAAAGAAAGGGCAACCCTGATGATTGAATGCCTTATCCGTATGTTTGAAAATCAAAAATTAGACTTATTCAAACTTACGAGATTGGTCATATTGAAACTCATCTAGCAATCCTGGAAATGTAGGTTATTTAAACGCAATTGCTTGCCCAGAAGACCATTATTTATGGTTTAGTATTATAATCATTTAATATATTTTTTATATTGCATAAACCTCACTTGTCGAATTCTAACCTAAAATTGTACACAAATGTTTCCCAAAGCATCTTCATTGTTTTGCTTACGTTAGTGCTGCATAGAAACACAAATGAGCTACAAAAGAAATGAATTGGACAGTTAACAATGGCGTGTGGGTCGCAGGGACAAACATTTTGCCCATCTTCAGAGCTCAGTGGGATTGTAATGGATACAAGGAACTGGTAGGAGGGTATTTCGTATTAGGCAAAACCGTCGGCTGCATAAGCTGTTGTTGCATAATGGCGAGCCTGTATCCTTATGTGTATTTATGGAAAATATATAACAAATTGTAAATACAACTATTAAAATATGCATGCCTCTTGGATGAATAGATAGGAGACGATGATAACGCAGACAGAATCACCGGTTGGGTGAACTCTCATGTATGCATCTTTGTCTAAATACCGATCGGTAAATGTTTATTTTTGGTATCCGTATTTGTGTCTTTTGGTTTATGTTACTTTGACTCAATGCTGTCCACCAATTTCACTTGCGCGACGAAGTCGAGGACGGGAACAATTATTCTAAGCAATTATCAATTTCGGTCAAATTTATGAACGATACTTTTCATCACGACGCAAGAGTAGGCGTACTCACAGCATAACATCCCTCAGTAAGATGAAAACTTTTGTATTTCCTTATTAACATCATGTTAATATAAAAATAAACGCTAAGGATATAGGTAACCTACATAAAAATGCACAAATTATAACTTAAAACTTTACTAAATTAGTAAACCAGCACTACAAGTTAAACACACAGCAAAACTAGCTCATGCATATTCCTGTTCACGTAGTGTTAGACAGTAAATACAGCTGATTTCAATAATAGAAATAAATTGTAAACAAACACTAGCGCGTGGTGGGCAAATGAAGAACTGATTGAGAGAAAGGGAAAATCAGCTGATCGGGTTACCCTTGTTTTAAATCAAAGCTTGGGAAACAATTAACTACTTTCTTCGATCAGCTGTTTTCGAAACAGCTACTTTTCGTAGTGATGAAATAATATTTATTTGCTATACCTGTTCTTAGTGTATTATGTGTGATTTTATATTATTTCTAATTATTTGAATATTTCATCTAAACTACTGGACTGATAACATTTGATCAAGGAAGAATTTGGAAAAGTAATGACAAACATTTGCAATGTTCTTTTGTGCCAACAATTCACGTTATATTCCGTAGCTGGCAGTCCCAGCACCATGGGGTCCCACAAGGTTTCATGCTGTCCCTCACTCTTATTGCACTTCCGGTTACGTGCATTGTTAATATTTCCTATTGCTTGTTAAATGAAATGGTCTTAAATTATTGGTGAAAATAAATGATAAGTAAATAACTATAATAGGCAAATGGATAGGGTTTGTTATAGCCTAGGACACCTAGAACTTTGGTGCAAGCAGGAAGGGTCGATCCTTTAAATTATCCACAAAAATTTAAAGAATTTAGTCCACTTTATCCAAAAATGTTTGTGATTCCTTCATTACAAAAGGCCACTGGCATAGTAAAGGACAAATATATTTTAAAAACTGTTGAAATAGTATCCAAATGGTATTTATGAAATCAATTAGTTAAATTAAAGCCAAAAATGACGTGGAAGTTTTAAATAAATTGTGTCATTGCTGTCATACTGTTGGTTATTTACATATAATGTTACATCTATGAAATAATAAAGATTCTGAATAAGTCAATTTTGTTTAGGGGAGGGATAGTGTCCCTTAAAAGCGGGTAAGATGCTGAGATTTGCAAAAGATGATTTTTCTTATAGTACAGTGATATTTTGGTTTATGTAGTATATGTGGCTTTTTGGTTTATTAGACACTGATGCATTTTTCATAGTTGCCCATAAATTTTAAGGGGTTTCCAAATATAATTTAACCATGGATGTCCATCAACATGGACAAGACCCTTGCCCATGGGGGTATAACACCCTTTTTTGACCAAATTTAAAAAAGTATGCAAAAAATAATAAATTTACATAAAGCAAATTGAGTTACAAAAGTTTGTAAAACCAACCACTTTGTACATCAACTTTTTACTGGGGGTTATTCCAGACCCCCAGCCCCCCTTATGGAACAGTTAGGGACGCCCATGAATTTAATTGAAATGTACTAAAAATATTACTTGTTTCACTCATTATCTTTTAAAACTTAATAAACAATTTTAGACTTTTGAACTCTTTGGAATCAAATATGTATTTGAGGGTTGAAATTTGATAAGAATGTACAAATTAATATTAATGACATATTTCACGAATTTTGTAAATTTTTTTGGTAAATGGAGGTCAGTATCTATTGAAGAGTACATTCCTCTTTACCTTATTGAATGTAATCTAGGCTCTAGACTAACTGATGAAGGCAAAGTTCAATTGCCATTCTACAGGCTGTTCCTCTTGTCCACCCCCCCCCCCTTCTATTATTGCAAACTTAGACTTTATGGCAATTGCCTGCCTTAATATTCTGTCCTTAAGAAAATTTTGTATAAAATTATTTGGAAGGGTAAGGTTGAAGAAAATATAATTTAAGCATTGACAGCATTTCGATCTTCAAAGAATTCTAATAGCACTTACGTTTTTTACCTCCATAGCGCTCTATTGGAAATAGATTATATTTATTTTGTGATGGTAACAGGTGTCAAAGATCTCCTCTCCCTCCCTTTTGATTTTGTGTAAAATAGTGCTTAACGACAACATATTAACGGCTAGTGCAATAAAATATACACACCCTAAAAAATGCATTGGAACAAAATTAATTATGCTGCATATTAAACTTATTAACTAGTGTGTAAAACTATTCATTGACTTTAAGCAATATTTCCAAAAATCCATTAATAGTTTGTTTATACATCTTTTACGATTTTGATTTGGCCATTTTCTTAGTGTTGCATTTTAGTGGATGTACATTCGAATCATCATGAAAATAATAAAGTTTTATAGATTATAGTTTCATTTCTAAAATTTGTTATAACGGCAAATTGTTTTATTTTCCAGATAGCTGAAGATGTAACCAAAAAGAAGGCTGAGTACCAGAAACAATTGGAGAATTATAGACTGATGCGCTCTAGGTTTGAGGAACACTATGTCAAATGTAAGTTCTTAAAAATATTTAAATATTTATAGCTTCTACAAAATATTTAATATGAATACCGTCATCATCCTTGTTTCATTTTTATACAGTATTTTTTTCGTTTTTATTTTTTTACTGTTTGTATTTATATTTTCATTTGTTTCATTTTGTAACAAATTATTATACTGTACTGTTAAAATAGTCATACAATTCTGCTCCATTTACATTTTTCGTATTTAAAATTAAAATTATACTTAATTTCTTTCTATTTAAGTACTGTATTTGATTATTCAAGCGTTCGTTCTTACTGTAACAATACTTTAGTTAAACCAGTTTTTGTTCCTAGAATCTTAGATGTTAGAACAGAAACCTAACTTGAGGTATACCCTTCAAACTATTTCCTCCCCTAAAAAATTGTGTTATTGCATAAAAAATACTTAGCCTAAGTTTTTCTTGTGTGGAAGTTGTTTTAGTGGAAATTAAAACTTCACAAATGTCCAGAAAAAAACAAAGATCGAGAAATTTTAACCAACACTCACAAAATTAGGAATCAGGAAATTAAATTAGAGCATTCGGTACAGGCACAGAGTAGTAAGGTAGAGAGGGAACTTGCTTGGTACATGCGCTTTCAGCTATAAAAAAAAAAAAAAAAAAAAAAATAGTATTCTGTGCCGGAAATATATTTGTGACGAGCAAGGATGCCACAAGAAGCAGTGAGACCTACGGGGGAATTCCTATCGACAGGACACAGGGTGAGCGTTGTAGTACATGATAGTGAGGGGGCGGTGTTGGACTTTTCCCTAGACACCAGAGACTAATGCTAGACACCACTAAAGTGTACCATTGAATGTTTCCTCTGTACCTTATTTCTGTGTAGACGAGGCAATTACTACTAGATAAGTTACTCTATCCAGTCTTACTAATATTATAACAATAACCATGGCATGCCAGCCCCTCACTATTCACCTAACCAAACATTTGCCAATTACAGAGATAAAACCCATTCTCATTCAAGCCTACTTAACTTATTTTCCATCCTGTTTATGATACATTCAATCAGATATTCATTACTATTAGTTTACTCTCAATACTTTTACTATTAGTAATGTGCTTTTACACCTTTAATTCAATGACATCACTTTAACAGCTAGTTCTAAAGATGAAGATAGAATATCTTCCCACAGAGCAGCATTTTGTGGTATTTGTAAGTAGCTCGTGATTTTTTGTGTTTTGAAATTCCTTTGCGTTTTGAATTGAACACAAAGTAAGCAACACCTGTCTTTTCTGTTGTTTTGGCTATGGTAGTGTTCTGCCAAATTGTTGTCCCTGTCAGTAAGCATTAAATGTTAGCACCAGTCAAAAGTGTTCAAGTGAAACAAAGGATTGCTGTTTTTGGCGTCTGCATGTCCAGTGAAGTCAGTAATACGCTACATATGAGTAGAATTACTATTTTGAAAATATTTTATGGTGTGAGTAATACTAGCTTTTTGAAGCTTCAGATTTTTTTCCTCAATTTATCTAGGTCTCAACCATAATTTTTGATTTGTTTATTTACCACCACAAAATATTCCTACCCTTTGCGTATGTGGTTTATGCGTTTTTTCAAATGATCAATCCTCATAACTCAGAATTGTGACGTTATAACTCTTAGTTCATTTTGAGAGACTTGAAAGACATCTAAATTACTTATATCAAATAATTCGATTCAACAGTATTCTGTGCATTAATGTTCTTATGTAATGTAATTTCATGCTTTTACGCCAACAGTTGTTTTGTGCCAAATTTTAAACCAATTGAGTTAGTGGCTCAGTCGGTAGTGCGATGGACTACGAATCCAAGCTAGGTAGCGATGTTCTTGTGCTGGTCCTTACCACTAAATTTCATCAGAACAGTTCACTCTTGCTCTGTACCGGCTCACCCCTAGTTTTGCTGGATATGTTCTACGCAAAGGCCCTATATCTCTGTGGACAGGCAAATTCAAAGATAAATGAGTCAATCAACCTCTTTAAACAAGGCAAAATTTGTGTCAAATTTCACAACAAATTACTTTTTAAATACCGTACCATAAGAATAAGATTGTTGAAAACATAGAAAACTGCCCAAAGAACATTAAACTAATTTTGTCTCCTTGTGGGGTTCCAGCTGGAAGAGGAGGGCGCAAACTAGACGATGTGAGAGACAAGTACCAGAGGGCGTGCCGCAAACTGCATCTAGTTCACAATGAGTACGTGCTGCTCCTAGTGGAGGCTGAAGAGAATGAGAAACACTTCCGTACGAGTCTGTTGCCTGCGTTGCTGCATCAGCATCAAGCCAATCAAGAGCTCTTCGTCAAGTCTTGGTAAGGTCTTGGCCCCTTTCATTCTGAATTTTTGTTTCCGTCCGTTTACACTTACAAAAAATGGATGCTACGAGGATTGTATGTAAATTAAGGTCTCCTTTGAGCTCTTTGTTATGGCCAAAAGACCTTGATCAAATCTGAGACACTGTCTTTTTCCTTACTTCGTCTACGACCATTCCAGACAGTTCCTGTCCCTATGGGACTTAGTCTTGTCATATTATTTTGAAACATTGTCAAAGAAGTTGAAGCTCAAACCAAGTATAAATCATATTCTGTGATTAGATTTCTGTTGTCTCACTTGTAAACTGCTATTAAAGTTCATCGCCAATTTATTAATGTTTTTGCACTAAAAATATGCGTAAGGAGTTCAGGGAGTTCAAAGGTTGTGCATAATGTTTTCCTTGGGGTAGGCTGACTGGTGAAGTTCATCAGTCTCAAGGAAGTGACCAAAGCCAGGAGTACCTATTTAGCATGTGAATCTAAGAGTGAATGAACAGCAGATATTGCCAAACTGATAGAAGAAATCTTCATAAGACTATCAAGCCCTGGAAGTCTTAAGCACACTGATCAGCAAGTGTTTTATCAAATTCAATCACTGTATGGAAACTGATCAATAACCGTTGTAGGCTCCGTTATGGAAACGTGTATGGCCTTCTGGGATCTCCTTAAGCCACTTGTGCACATTTTCTATTTCAAAATACTTTTTTAGCATCCACAACCGTATCTGCCAACAGGGATTGATTCCCTTCCTACAGAAACCTAATTGCAGAACGCTATTCATACTTGCCAGGATAGTCAAGTTTCTTTCATACTGTTTCCTGATAAGAATGATTGTCTACAGGTTGAAATTAGCTTGGAAGAAGTAAGGAACATGTCATTGGTTTGAGATTCAAACTAGGTTGCTTGGATGTAATCAGAGCTTAATTGAGATCTAATTTTATGGACAACCTTCATGTTTAGTTTTAATTGAACAATCAGACTGGAATAGAATTTCATGTTTTTGCAACTTGCAAAAATTTGATCATTGGAGCTGGCTGCTGATCAACGTCTTCACATCAGCGAATTCCATGCACAATCTGCAATGCCTTTACTCCTAAAACATTGGAATTTTAATTCTCTGCGTCTAAATGTTGGAAATAAAATTCAAGTTTTTGACAGTCCGCAGATTGCACTTGGTAACTGGTTTTAACGCCAAAGAGATCTTCTGGTTGTACTGGGACATTCTGAAAGTTAACATATGTCCTAGTAACAGCTTGATGTCACCACTTTGGTGTCAAAGGTAGCTACTGAGAGCAGTTTGTTACCTTAAGTTGTTATTTACACCATTTACTGTCCGCGAGAGTAAAGAAGTCCCCTGAGCTCCGGCCTATTCGTAGTTTAAAGGCGTTACGCTTGAACGTTTCGCGCGACAATCACTGTAGAGCCGTCTTGACGCTGCTCTGCTAGTTTTAAGGCTTAATTTTTGTATTTAATATCTGTATGATTTTTATAAATCTATGTCATAATATTTCTTTGCATAGTCATACAATCGAAGGAAATTCTTTCTAGTGTTACTAAGGCAAATTAATAACCTTTCTACTTTATGATTTTTGTTTAGTTAAATGTAAATACCAATAAAATACAATACAATAAAATCTTTTTTAAATCCGAGTTTGAAAGCATTAAACCCAAATAATTAGTTGATCCATGAATATACTTATGGTGAATGCATATTACCGGTAATACACAAGTACAGCAGTTTCAATAGCATTCATCGCAATAGAAAACTTATTATTTCTACTAAATTTCAATAGCTGCATTTCAATTTCAATTATATACATAATCAATAGCTACAAGAACCGTCCAAAACAAAACGCGAACACACGAGACTGCAATGAATCAAATTACGTGACCACATGATGATAAAACACTTACCAAAACAAAGATATGAGTAATTATGTTTACAACAGTTGTTTACAGACAGACATCAAGGCGAGGCGCCCAGATGCTTAGCGCCTGCAAATAGTGCGCGATACCCTCCAAACATAGCTGCGTATCGCTCTGGCTCAAGGGACTTCTTTACTCTCGCGGACAGTAAAACATTTTTCAGTAATTTAGAGGCTATCTCGCCATCACAAAACATAACTTATGCACAATAAAGTCACAAACCTATCTCCCAAAAGCTAGGAACAAACACAGAGAAGTAAGGTACAGAGAAAACACGCTGGGACGAAAATACGCTTTCAGTTCTTGTATGTTTTGCTGGAAATTTCCTTCTGATGAGCAAAGAGAAGCCCGAGCAATGAGCACTATGTGGAAATTTCTACCGCACAGGGCCCAGGGTCTTCCTCCACCGTGAGTGTTGTAGTACATGAGGGCGAGGGGGGCGGTGTTGGACTTTGGCCTAGACACTAAGACGTATTTTCCCGAAAGGTGTTGGAAAATACGCAAGCCCGGTGTTGACCCGGTTGCCGGAGAGCCCGAACGCCCTGGGTTGTGGTTCCAGGGGTCGAAATGTTTAACAAATCGACAGTAAAGGGCGAACTAATATTCTGAAAAGAGAATGGATGGTACGACAAATGTCTAATTCAAAGCAAGGTGATGACTACCTTATACAGAAACGTGGTCCTTAGTCCTCGTGAAACTGTGCGTGGTTGACAGTCCTCTGTCTCGTGCACTCGTAGCTGATCGACGCTTCCGACCGACTCCCTGACTCGAATTTTGGTTGTCGTATACTCAACTGTCTCGTGTCCTGAACTCGACTGTCCGGTGTCATGGCGTGAACTCGACTGTCTTGAGGAGCTGCGGATAGTACAACGGTCAGGGACAGCGCTTATGCCCAAGTCCAGTCCGGCATGCGCAGAGCGCCTGGCTAATGGAAGCTGCCGACTCAAACGTTGGCGCGATTTTCAAATTTACATTATTTGTATCATTGCATTGGAGCTAAATCGGCTATTTGCGCTAGAAAAATATCATGGTGAAATTGAACTTGATACGACACCAGCACTAGATAGTGCTAGACACCACTTAAGTGAACCATTGAGTGTTTCCTCTGATCCTTACTTCTCTGTGGAACTCGAGCGTAAATTGTTCAAATCATAGATCTCCAAATCACTCACTATCTATGAATTTGTCTATAAGTTGCAAAGTATGAAAAAAAATTGTTGTATTATATGATGAAACACATTATGTTTATCACAAGTCTGATGTTATTTCAGGAGAAATATAATGAGGGAGATTTCACGACTGTGGAACTTTGCGTCCCGGGAATTTGCTGAAATCAACAGCAGAGTAGAGGCACATGTCGAGTCCATCAAACCAGCAGAAGAATACAAAGACTTTTCTGAGAGGCATAAGTAAGTTTGCCTGTAGTCTCAAAATCCTTTTATTATAATTCATTGTGATTGCCCTGAAACTGCAATAATGGGTTTTTATTACCTGTCATGCAGTTCTAAAAGTAACAATCGTGTTATAGTCCTCGCCACCCTAAGTTGAGGCAGCCCAAGGCCGCACGGCGTATATCTAGTGCGGCCTTTGGCTGCCTCAACTTAGGATGGCGAGGACTATACATGTTTCAGGAATATACCATCGTCAAACACTTCAGTCCAGAGAATACATTGAATCTGCTTGATTAACTTCCTTGGTGTTAAAATATGGACACACATTTGACACACGGCACATATAGAAACAACATAAAAATAAATAATGTTTGTAAAGAGATAGGCCTATCCCAGAAACACAACATTGCCTGTAGGCAAGCAGGAAGGGTTGGAGGGTTCAAGTCAGCGCTCTCTGGTTTTGTTTTTAGTGTTGATTAGCTGGTTCAGATATATTCCCTCATTCCAGTAGGGTGTTAAAAATAATATTGGACTTCAATTGGAGTTTATGAAGGATGACTGTTCAAACATATATGTTTGTTATTGACTTTTATATTTCAAAATCTCTAAAACGTCTATTTTATGTCCCTTATAACATTAATGCAGAACATGTAGACCGGTGTTAATGTCATTAATACCATGACTACTGTCAATTACGTATTGGGCAAATGTTTATTTTTGGGTGTCTGCAAATGTTGGATCTGGGCGGTAATCCGTATATCGAGTTATATATGCCCGACCCCTTTGTCTAATGTAGTAACAGAAGAATCATAATAAATTATATTTTTGGTTTAGAGATAGTTAGATGTAACAGCATTTAACAGTTTTGGTTTTTGATGTAAGAACACTCACATGTGATTTCTTTTAGAGCAAACAACTCATGGGTATTGCACTATCGTACCAACTCACAGAAAGTTTTTTTGTGGCTCTTGCGATAAAACAGATATTATGCGGTTGCAGCAGTAAAACATTCATTTTAAGTTTATAATCAACCTTTACTCTCTTAAACGGTAGTTTTATACGTGGGATCATGATTGACAAATCTTTTGCAGATCTCTACCTACTGAAGCAGTCAGATTCACTTTTGACAGTACTCTCGTAGAAGACACCAGCGGGAAATTGCAGCCGAACCAACTGACAGTGGACAACCTAACAATAGAATCCGTCCAAGCCAAAATGGCCGACCTTGAATCCAGGTTGAAGGAAGTAAAGGAGCGAAAGGCATTATGCAACCAAGAGTCTAGGTACTTAAAGCTGTCCCGTTGCTTTACTTGTTATGGTTTACGGTTTTGTCATAAAATTTACAGCGTAATTTATACTCTGAGACTATAGTATGTACCTCGTTAATTTAGCAGTATTGTATTCTTACGTAGTTGGAAATCTAAAACCTTACTCTGCTCTTATTTCTGTAGCCATTCATACCTAAGAAGGTATTTGGCCTCACCTATTGTACTTCATTAGCTCGTAAAATTCTTATTTCTTTGACTATTTCATCTTTCCACCTATTATTTGTTAAGGCAATGTCTTTCCCTTTTATAACTTTGTGATAGCTTTATCCACCCTTCTCATCACTATTCCAGTTCATTTAATGACATTGTTGAATGTATTCATCATAGTAAAGTTCTTCTGTATGCTGATGATTTAAAAGTCTTCAAAGAAATAAACACTTTTAATGACTGTATACTTCTTCAGGAAGACCTATATCGTTTAGAAGGCTGGAGTAATGAGGGCTTAAAATTTCATCCAGATAAATGTGCTGTCGTGAGGTACACAAGACGTACGCAGAAGATCATTAATTTTCGCTACTCAATGAATGGTACTGTCCTTCAATCTCTTTATGAAACCAAAGATCTTAGAATTACAATTGATGACAAGTTTTCGTAAGCAGACCATATTGCTGAATCCTGTAAGATGGCTTATCGTAACTTGGGTTTCATATTCAGATCTGGGAATTTCCTGAAAGGCATATATGGACTCAAGCTACTATATTTCTCCCTGGTTAGGTCTAGACTTGAATTTGGTTCAATAGTGTGGTATCCACATCATGCTTATCTCATTGAGATGATAGAACAAATCCAAATAAAATTCCTACGGTATCTATTTTTCAAAAGATTTCACATATGACATATCATATCCTATATTACTGGATCTGTTCGAAATGAAGAGCTTAAAGAGTCGACGGGATGTACTAATGCTGACATTTCTCCACAAATTGGTCAATGGAAAAGTTGATGATAGCGAGATCTTATCGCTGTTATCTTTCCTCGTGCCTCGTCCATCGTCCAAAGTCCGTGTTTTGTTCGCTCCTACATTCGCCCAGACTTGCCTGGGTGCCCAGTCTCCTGCCAATGTTTTAATGAGGCTTTATAATACATTACCCCAGGGTATTGATTTATTCAACTCAACCCTAGCCTCTTACAGAAATCAGTTGAATGATAATTTATTTTAAGAATAATTTCATGGTACCATGGCTATTGTCTCAATTCAATTTGTTGTGTTTCAATTGAATTTAAGTTTCTCATTTTCTGTTGTTGTTGTACTATTGTTTATGTAAAGTGTTATTTATTTAATATTGTGTTGTTGCCTACATGATGAAAAAAAGACATTTTGACACGTGTTCACACAAAGTATGTACTGTATTATGAGTATTTGTACTATGCTGCAATGTAATTGGACGTCTGTATTGTAGCATTTAAATAAATAAATAAATAAATTTAAATAAATAAATAAGTTTAAGAGTCTTGCTTATACACCTGCAACAATTTCTGGTGTTGCTGAAAAAAATTTACCAGCTGATTATCAGCACAATAGAAATGTCTAAAGAACACTAAATACTGATACACAAAAACAATTTGAATTGATAAAAATCTAAAGGAGGAACTTTTTTCAACTAGCCATTTCCAATGACAGCTTATGCCAAAGAAAACTATCAATCCCCAAGCTCTATAATTTCACAATAATAATATCACATTATACTGTAAATAAAAACAGAAACTGACGTAATGTAGTTTAGTTTTTTGCACCATGTAAACTTAAAGTATTATTTATTATTTGTACCAAGAGTGCTATTATTCAATTATTTCCTTACATGGACTATTCCTTGCTTGCAAAAATTGGTTTGGCTTTACCTTTCACAGTAAATAAACTATTTAACAGCTTTGACTTATGCTGCATACAATCTTAGTTAGTATTCTGTTGCTGTTTGCAGTGAGTTGACAATAAACGGTCTTATGTGTGAGGAATGTTTGCTGAGTAGACAACTGGACGTGATACACAAGGCCTTCAACGAGTTAGGCTGTGAGGAACCTCCGGTCGGCTGTGATTTGCCCCTCGACCATAGCTTTGAGAACGGAAACATCGCGGATAATCAGGTAATTGGCTACGTTAGTTCTGGTAGTGAATAGTCATTTGTAATCAGCGTTTTTGTTTTGATAAAAACTGTTTTTAAGTAGAAGGTAGGCTTTTATGGTCAAAGTAGACTCGATTCTTGGTCTTCGAAAGGTGATCACGTCTTTGATTTGGCGTGAATACTGGCTAATGTTTCTATGCGTTACAACGAGCTATCAATCAAGCAATCTACAGAAGGGTCGTATTTAAAACCTTCGACGTCCTCAGCGGCTCACTCCAGAGAGGCCCCTGTATTTTGATTCTTCTTGCTGGAGCTTAAGGGGTTTTAAAGTACATGTTGTATTGCTTAAACTTGATGAACTTGACCCTCATTTTTGACTATTCGAGTGGTGAATACTCCTGGAAGGCCAAAAGACTAGCTTATTAATAATTTTAATTTGTTTTTTATATATTAGGAGTCAGGTCAAAAGCAAAGGGTTACTTAGAAAAACAAATCTTAATTGTTGTACCTATCTTAATCAATTTTGACAACTATTGCAATGGGGCAAAATCGTGAACTAGTAAAAAAATTTAAAATTAACAGAATCGTCATGACAAATCTGTTAGCGCTGTGCTCGTGACATCTTCCACAATCGTTTAAGTCTTCTACGCTCAAGGCAAAATTGTGAACATATGGCTCATTCACAGTGAATTCATGAATGTCTCCTGTGGTCAAGTAGAAAATTGAGAGTATATTTCACGTTGGCGGTAACTCCTGCAATCAAAGTGAAATTATGGTTTTCGATCACTCTGACAGTTTTGGCAATCGCAAGAATAAAAGCTCAGCTCACAAATCGAATCCCCTAACAGATTATTAGTGAAACTCATTTTTGAGAGAAGAAAATCCTTAGAGGCCCCCTCCGAGGCCGAGTCTCCCAGCAAACACCGTTAGGAAAATACGACCCTGATTGACAGTTTGGCTTAATTTTTGTGGCCATCCCCTGAAGACCAAGATTTGATATTTCCGCTTTGACGTTATAACATTTTCATTTCCTGTACCATACCTCTTCTACTTTGAATATGAAAATGTTAAGTCTTCTGATTTCTGCAGTGATTTTCTGAAGTGATTTCTGCAAAAGATAATCAATTCCAAATTGTATCTATTTGAAACTGTTACGTATTTTATGATTTGGCTTTGGTCAATATTTTGGGCTAATTGTAGTACGTGAGGTAATTGTATGGTTAAATCAGTTGTTACTACTTGTGAATTTTTTACGTGAAGGTTGTTGATATTTTGTATGGTTACACAAGAAATTATTCAACATGCTGTACGTCATATAATACAACTTTGAAACTAAAACTTTGGTCCGTGTTATGTATAATCTTAGTGTTCTTTCTTCCTCTATCAAATCAGTACTTCTGGACATATCAGCTTATTATTATGTTAATACTCTCACAGTTTGCTTTTTACCACTAATATTTATTTTCATTGAGAGCAGAAAAAAGATCAGTTTAATGTATGAAAGTCTAATCATTCCTATTTACTTTTCCATTTCAATGTTCACATTTTATTTCTTTTTAAAGATATTTGAAGGGTTGTATTTTTTCTGAATCAGTTTATTTATATTTTGTCTGTATCTAACTATCTATTGTTAGTAACAAAAAAAATGTATTCATTTATTAGCTGTGGCGGGGGTCAAGGAGGCTGGTTCGTGGCTAGATAACTTGGAGTAATTCAGGAATTCACAAAGAGAGTTTATGTACAAAGCATGTTTATGTCCTTTGTATTATTTGTTTATTTGGTGTGAAATTAGTCCCACTCTAGTTTGTGGTTGCCAAGCCATATTTTAACTACTGTACACACGAAAATATAATTAATTCAACCATATCCCAAACCTCTGTAATGTTTTACTAATTTACTGATCATTAGTGATGTGTCGATACCTACCACTTTTTCAAAGCCAATTCCTAACCAATATCAATTCTCGGAACGATCGGTACCTCATTAAGTACTTATCATACAAAAGTTCATGCTCTGTGAGTGTGTATGATATGATAGATACACAAATTGTAAAAGCAAATCCAATATGTCAAATGAAGAACTTCAAGTATTATGTTGTTTGATTGCAAATAAAATAAACTAGTCAATATCCAGCCTGATAAATAGAGAAAAACTGGTATGAACTATTTTGATGAATGGCAAAATTCAGTGAATTGTACAAGAATTTTTTCAGGACTGGGGAAATTTTACTTTTTTATGGTTCAAATGATTCAAATGATTCAAATGATTTATTAGGCCATTCTGTTCTTACAAGACAATAGGCTACGTCAACAATGCAATAAATAATAAATAACATGCCAAGCTTCTTCTAGCATTCTTGACTAACAAAATTAAATTAAAAGCTGTATTAAGTGTATTGGTTGCCGCCAATAGCCAATGATCGGATATTTATGCAATACTACCGTTACGTTGGTTCTGTTTTCACTTCGTCACAATGGTAGTAAACGATGACGACGTTACCGTGATTACAATGTATGCTACGAATGTTTTTGAGATGGCAGGAGATGATTATGACATCACGGCTGTTACCGTGATCGCTTTTCCAATTTTGTTTGCGGTTTCAAGTTTCAGTGTAGACCAATCATTAATGTAAGTAAATTGACAATAAAAGTATCTGTAGGAACTGATTTCCATTCACCCAGCCTGCCATGTAGTAGTCTTCGTCAGATCGGGATGCCAATAGGTTTGTGCCCTGTTGTTACCGAAGTACCAATAACATTTTAGCGTCAGTTCTTGGAACTGTGACTTCATGTTCTTGGTACCGACACGTCACTACTGATCACCCTGTATATTCTGTGTTGTGTTGTGTTGTAGCTGAATGATGTGAGTCCAATGAAGCGCAGCTCCTTACCCCACCAGACACAATCTTCCACCAACTCGCTTGTGGACATGTTGCGTAAGCCGTTCCGTCGCAAGTCCGTCCCGAGCTCCCCGACGGCCCGTCGTCCTTCCGTTCCGATCTCCGGTGTAGGTTGTGATAATGATCTCGTTATCAGTAACCTTGAACCTCAACCTACCTCACTAATTGTACCTGATTTGTCTCTTACCCATTCTGTTAGCCTGCATTCGCTTAACATGGTAAGCTGCCTCATTAACACTTGATAGGTTATAAAAAGTATATAATAAATTTTACAATACAAGAATAAAGTAAGAATAGAATAAATTTTACAGCAATTCTAAAACAAATTCACACAAACAGTTATATTATTATTTTGAAATATTTATCTTTGGTTTGTCTTGATTTTTGATCGTACTCAGTGTGGTATCATTAAAAGATTTAAGATGTTTAGTTTTAGAAATATTACTGGGGTCTAGTACATTCTTATGAAATTATTACATTTAAAAATATTCTTTGCGTGACATTCTATGAGGGAGGGCCCTTTAGCACTGCTGAAAGGTTTTAATATCATCCTTAGTCAATGGAAAGTTTAGAACCTAATAAAACAAATTTCAAGGATAAGTAACAATGAAAGTAATTTCATGAATCATATGGAAAGACTAAAATAATAACAAACAGCTGTTACTTTTTAATTTAGCCCAATTAAATCAGGCCTTATCATATACAAACAATAATATAGTTGTTGAGTTTTCTTTGCTGAATTTACAACAGTAATGATAAACATCTTAATGTAATTCGCTGGTAATAAGTTATGAATGATGTGACTATAAGAATATAGCTCTTAGTTTCATAGTTTCATATATGAATGTATTTTTTACTTTTTAAACAATGTTGCTACTACATAAAAAATCCTTAAGCACATGTGTTCACTAAGTGATTCTTAAAATACAATAATCTTTCACGTAACAATCTGGAGCAATACTTTTATGATCTCCCAGATATGTCAGCTGCTACAAAATTAAAAATCCCTTTTGAGGGTCATTCGATAAATATAGGTTCTGTTATGAATATAAATAACTTAATTGCTGAGGGTTTTGTTTGAGAATAAAGGTGATGTCCTTTTACATCAAGAGTTACCTAGAAGAAAAAGGGATAAAAGTGTGGGTAAAGTACCTTATTATCGACACAGAAGTGAGTAAATCTGTGTGAATGCTTTAAAGTGTGCGAGAAGTACTATTTTAAAATTATTTATCAGGAAACTTTGAAGGATAACTCTGGAGCAAAAATAAATATCAAAGTTTAAAATAACTTACAAAATTGTGAGTAAACCTTTTTTTGTAAAATTCTATGTTCACGTAAACATAATCTATAGCCTTATGCATTCTGCTTATTCCCTGTTTATAGTGTTATGCTGTTACTAGTTGTTTTTCATTAAAAATAATTGCTTCAAAAACTGAATGATTATCTAACAAAATTAGAGTTTCAAATTTGGTAAGCTATATTTTGTGTGCAGTCTAAGTCTAACTTTAAACGTTGAATATGTAATTTGTTTTGTCTTGTTATGGATTTAATTTCTGTTGTTTTCTAATAACTAACCAGTCTTATATCTATAACTTAAAATATAGCAACAGAAAAAACTATTTTAATTTTAAGTTACTGGCTGTAAGAGCTATGTTTACCTTTGTCAGGAGTGCGAGAATTTTGGAAATCACAGTTGTAAAATTCAACTAAGTTCCTCTTTTATGTTTTTTTTTCTGTGACTGATTAATCTACTTGTCAAAAAGTTTTGTTGGTCTGTGATTAAGGCGTAGGGCTTACACACTAGAGAAAGGAGTTCAGATCTTGTCAGTCACTAAAACAGTTTTCCAAATTGAAATATTTTCCCTCAAAGAGCGATGTCTCTGTGTGCCAAACATCCCGTATTGTTCAGGTTTTGATAATTTTGCCCATGAGAAACAAACAGAATATCTTTTTAAGATATACAGGGTGAATAAAAAGTCAAGACCCCCCCCTTTAATATTTTTCCCATTAATAATACAGAGACATCCTTTTGGTGGTCGTGCAATCTTGGCAGGAAGTTTCATTTTATGATTTTGAAATTTTTGAGTGTCCCCCCAAAAGGGGGGATTTAGGGGGTAACTCAAATATTTTAAATGTAAACCCCCTTCAAGTGACACCTCATTTTGAAGTGTTTACAAAAACTTAAAGAATGGTGAAAACTAGAGGTCGCTATCTCTTTTCTATCCAAAATGGTAGCCCGTCAAATGTTGTAGAAAATCAATGGTAAAATTGGTTCGTAATAGTAATATTGGCTACCATTTTGGTTAGAAAAGAGATAGCGACCTCTAGTTTTCACCATTCTTTAAGTTTTTGTAAACACTTCAAAACAAAGTATCATAAAATGGGGGCTTAAGTTTAAAATTTTTGAGTGTCCCCCCAAAAGAGGGGATTTGGGGGGCAACTTAAATTGTTTCATCGTAAACCCCCATCAAGTGACACCTCATTTTGAAGAGGTTAGAAAAACCTAAATAATGGTGAAAACCAGAGTCCGCTATCTCTTCTCTATCCAAAATGGTAGCCAATATTACCATTACGAACCAATTTTACCATTGATTTTCTACAACATTTGACGGGCTACCATTTTGGATAGAAAAGAGATAGCGACCTCTAGTTTTCACCATTCCTTAAGTTTTTGTAAATACTTCAAAATGAGGTGTCACTTGAAGGGGGTTTACGTTTAAAATATTTGAGTTACCCCCCAAATCCCCCCTTTAGGGGGGACACCCAAAAATTTCAAAATTATAAAATGTAACTTCCTGCTATGCTTGCACGACCACCAAAAGGATATCTCTGTATATTTACTTGGAAAAATATTAGAGGGGGGGGGGTCTTGACTTTTTATTCACCCTGTATAATAATGATAATAATAACATGTGGACCACTGAAAAAGACAAAAAAGACTTTATATTTGATTAAATAAGTGGTGTAGTGGGGCTTGAACGGGTATCCCTCTCTGCTCTTTTAAAAACTATAGAAAACTCTTTATACCTATTTTTTTCTGAGATAATTGTTAGCATTCCCTCTTTGGGAAATTAACAGCTAAACCACACATTTAGTTATGGCCTTTAACTATTAATACATCTAGACATTCCATTCACATATTAAAGTTGTATCCAGTTTTTTTTTTTTTCAAAATCGTCGTAGTTAATGTGAGCCACCGACAGATTGCCCTGATCCAAATCACTAATTTCTGTTGTATTCAGACTTGTTAACAGTCAAACTAATGGTATGACATATGGTGAGCTATAGCAACTATTAAGACCCATCAACCTGGTCAGCAACAATAAAAGGTAGGAAATGAAATTTTAGTCACTAGCACATTCTGTCACTGACTCACACAACTATGTTCATAAAAAAAAAAAATTGGCGACAGCTAGTCCATAAAGATGGGATGTCTACTTCATTATCCAATAGTCAATGGTATGGCTTCACAGAATAAGACAAAACTAGTACAGTTATATTTCAGGATCTTTTTAGATTTTACTTTTACAGTTGAAACATAAGTAGTACTAATGCAGGGAAAAAATGTGATTACTTGAACACATATTGTTTATTTGAACTTGTTTGGGTGTGTAAGCGTAGTGCGTATGTGTCTCTATATTTTAAACATTTTCGCCACCAAGACTGATAGTTTGAAATATTTAGAAGGTACCTTGTCCGTCCTCATTCATATATTTGTTTCATGTGACTGTGGACAAGATTTGTTTACTTTTTATATTGTGTTCTGCATTTGAATCAATTGTTGGTTGTCTATGGTGATTGCAAGGCATATACAACGTCAGTCAATGTGTGGTATTGTGTAGATAGGCTCAACACGGTCGCTGGTTGAAGAGGAATGGTTCCACGGAGTTTTGCCGAGAGAGGAAGTCGTACGGCTGCTGACAAGGGAGGGGGATTTCCTTGTACGAGAGACGACACGCAACGCTGAACACGAGATGGTGTTGAGTGTTTGCTGGGGAGGGTTTAGCCGACATTTTATCGTCCAAACAACGCAGGAGGTGAGACAGTGTTCTAGGACAGTGTTCATTCTAGGATGCTATGCTTTAGCCCGGAATAGTTTTCATTTTACCTTTACTTCTGGCTAGGCCTAGAGGGTCACAGCCTAGAAGGGGAGCGAGCTGGCGTCGTGGTTAGAGTGCAAGACTTCAGTCCCTGACGTCTCGGGTTCGATCCCCACCAAGTCACCAATGGATTTTATCTAAGTGATAATGCCGCAACCCCTAGGTCTAGCCTGAAGTAATGTGAAAAACAATCCCAGGCTCGTGCCTAGCATCCTAGGAAAAAAAAGAGGGTCACAGTATTATCACAGATAAAGTCTATTGGTGATAGGGATTATAACCTGAAACCTCAGGGACTGCTCTACACTAGACCCTAGACCACTAGCAGCTCCCCAAGAGGAGACAGTGTTACAGATGATTAGATCCAAAATTACTTGATTAACAGCTTATTTACATACATATCCTCTTCCTTGCTACTCCGGGGTCTGTTAGGGTGTCAAATTAACTTCGTCTTCTTCTATCCCTCCACTGTTCCTCTTCCTCCACCATCCTCCATCTCACTTCTGTCTTCTCCACATCCTTCATCTCACCTAATCACCTTCTTTTAGGTCTTTTCCTTGGCCTTCTTCCTGCTATCATTACTTCCTGATCGCGTCATTCCATGTTAACGTAACTTTATACCACATCGTTTTACTCTTAGTAGCCCTTAAAAATCGTATTTCTACTCTTGTATTCTGCTCCATTACTTTCCTGTACACCCCATACTCTCGCTCCATAACTATAGTATACATAAGTATTTTTTTATCCTTATCCTATGATGGTCTTTATCCTCTTCATAATTTGGCCTTGCTCTATCCATCAGTTTATCCCTCGGCTCATGCACCCACCACTTGACAACGCTGTGCCTAAGTACGCAAACAATTAAACAATCCTTAAAAAAGGAATTTAGTTACTTTCATTTGATAGTCGCACTAATAACACTGTGTGTTTACAAAAATAAATTCCTGAGTATTCAAGGCGTTACTTTGTATTTAATTATTATTTTGCTGATCTAAAACTAATTCACTTTTCCAGGGCCACTATCGGTTTGAAGGCCCAGCGTTTGCTACGGTCCAAGAGCTTATCATGTACCAGTGGCAGAGTGGTCTGCCGGTTACCAGTCGATCTGGGGCTATCCTTCGTCAACCTATAGCTCGAGAGTTGTGGGAACTCAACAACGACGATGTACTTTTGCTGGACAAGATTGGCAGGGTAAGTACAAGAGTTGAAGAAGTAAGTTTTATTAAGAGTTAGCTTGTAGCTTAGTAATTATAGTACTTGACTGGTAGTAGCTTTTTGATGGCCCCATGAAAGCCCCATATGTACTTTATTATTATGCTTTTACGGTCCTGGCTAAAAAAAAACAGCTGTTTGTAGTCAGTAACAAAGCTAACAAACATATCTCACACTATCATACACTCACCCTTCATTCATTTATATTTGTGTTAAAATACTCCCAAGTTGCTTCCGCATCTTATTAATGAATGAATAAAAATAGTGAATTAAACAAATGAAATAAGGCTTTTATTTTCCATTAATATATTCAATACAAAAATGGTAGTAATAGTCGAGATATTACAAAGAAAAAGGGTTAGAATGGAAAACAAATTTCATGGTAAAGGATAAGGCCAATAAAGGCAAGAAAAGAACTATATTAAGAAAGTAAGTTCTGCTAAGGGCTCAAAATTAGCTGCTTCAAGGGGGGGGGACAGGTTAGAGCAGATTTTACTGCTAAAATAAGTAAAAAAAACCTCCAGGTGTCAGCGCTGCTCCAAAAACTTGTTTGTTCGTTGTTCAACTGTGGAGTTGGATCTTTTTATCTAATTTCTTTGGGCAAAACAAATGAGAGATAAGAATATAGATACAAATTCTAGGCAGATACAGTAGGCACATTCAGGACTTAATACTAGTACGGGGTTATTGAAAATGCTGGATTACTGAATGTTTTCTAAAAACAGCTGATACTGTGAGACTAACCAAAGTACCGCTATATTAGAGCCTTTGATTCTGCCGATCACTCTCAATAACTGGCTGGGTAGCTGAGTGGTTATAGTGCTCGCCTAGTAATCAAAAGTTCGCCGGTTCGATCCTGAGAAAAGTTAGTAGCTTTTTGATGGTTCGAAACTGGACCCAGCTGTTCCTGATCATTGGGCTTTAAATAAATGATCCTGACTAATGAAACCGCTGATCTTAGTCAGTAACAAAGCTACACAGGTCGTCACACACCATTCTACACTCATCCTTCACTCATATTTGGGTTAAAATACGCACCTAGGTGGCGTCCCCATCTCAACAATTGATTGATTGATTGATTGATTGAACGTCTGCTGTTCACTCCCAGCTCTACTAGACTAGCTGCTGACTCCTCCGATCACTACCAACACTGTCGATCACTCTTGGCTCTGCCAAACGTGCTAATATGTCTTAGAACAGTGTTCAAAGATTTTTTTTTCCTTTATTAGACCAATGCTGAGTTTTTGAAATTGCCGAATCATCAGATGGCGGATTAGCAGGCTTTTACTGTAAAACAGGAAAGATTTCTTAAAATGTTGTTTCCACCCATGATAATCATTTCCGTCTGAGTGCAGCACAAAAAATTATCATCTAATGTGAATGCCCCAATTGTGCTGGAAAGATTTTGGAAAAGGGATGTGTATATTAAGCTTTTATGTATATTTCATGTAAACCATCGTAATATGACTATTACGAGAGTTTTTAATAAAGTAAGGTCTTCTATGAGCTCTAGTCACAACTAAGCAAGCTAGTTAAAATCTAACAAAAGCGCTGTATTCTTTACTTTCTCCGCTACTAATTTAGTAAGTCCCAACCCCTATGTGACAATTATTCTAGTCTTAGCCGATAGCAATGTGAAGAAAAACATACGCCCCTATAAATAGGACAATCCTCTAAATCGTTTTGTTTGTGGAAAGAATTTATTCTGTTTAAATTGTTTGATGATTGAGCTATATTTATGATTACAGGGAAACTTTGGTGATGTATATAAGGCAAGGCTGCGCACCACAGGGCAAGAGGTTGCGGTCAAAACGTGTAGAGTCACGGTTCCAGACGAACACAAACGCAAGTTCCTTCAGGAAGGTCGAATACTGAAGCAATACGACCACCCAAACATCGTAAAACTGATAGGCATCTGTGTCCAGAAACAGCCTATAATGATAGTCATGGAGTTGGTTGTAGGTAAGATTAACTAAAATTATTCAAACTGATCATTATGAAAACACTTGTTCCTAAAGGGTGTCTAATGATACAGAAGTCACTGATATTATTCTAATGGAGTTTCAAGTATCATAATTGCAACCGTTTTCCAAAATAAAGGGGTAAAAACGGTTCATTTTATTTTTTATCTACCAAAATTTGAAGCAACGATGAAATATTTGTATATTTCTTGTCATAGGTTGTGTTTTCATCAAAACAAAAGAGAAATCATCTGTAGTATATATGTAGTGCATTTGAATACTCTCATAATTTATTTATTAATCTTTTTTATTGGAATTGTGTCTTCTTATAAAAGATAAACTACTCATATTATAGCAAAAATCACTGAAAACTCACAGATTTTGAAATACAAGAGACAGGGATGCACCCTGTTTTGCTTAGGAGTACATTTACAAAGATAGGAGTTAAGGAAAGGCCAATTGGCTGATTAGGATTATTATGTACAAGGATAGGGATCAGCTAGCTTACCTGGTAGATAGAGTCCAGATTAGCCTTGATTACACATAAAACACATGACACAACACAGAAAAACTTTAAAATAAAAAAAAAAAGTTTTTCTGTGTTGTGTCATGTGTTTTATGTGTAATCAAGGCTAATCTGGACTCTATCTACCAGGTAAGCTAGCTGATCCCTATCCTTGTACATAATAATCCATTTACAAAGATAGAATTTCACAACTAATTCACCTAAGAAAAGAGTTCCATACAGTTAACGGTACAGGAGGGTTCACAAAACAGTGATTTGAATTTGATTAGTAGTAGTTTTATTAGTAGTGATTAGTAGTAGTTGTTTGATTAATAGTAGCTTGGTGTAGTACTATTCTACTACTTCCCTCTGAAGGAGCCCCCTTTGGAAGGGAAATAGTAGATTAACACTTATACCGGATCCCCGGTCGGACAGGCCCACGGGAATTTTCACAAACACATGTTGGCAACACAGTTTACTAGGGGGATTCCATTCCCCCAATACCTTCCCCCTTTTCCTCCCCTACCTGTGATATATTATTTGTTCATTTTGCGTGGGTGCCGTGACCTAGACAGGTTGCCTGTTCATAACATGCCCGTCTCAGAAGCCCAGCGTTAGTGTGTTTTAAAGCGGGGTCTCACAGGCCCAGGGTTTCGGTTTGTGTGTTTCTAAGTGGGTTCCATTATTTTCAAATGGGGTCTCACAGACTGGGGGTTTCGGTTAGCGTCAGCCTGGGTAGGGTTTAGGTATTAGTGTTAACTTTCTTTGCTACCAATGTGAATTGATTGTGTATACATTCCTCCTTCCTTCGAGTAACAAGGTTCTAAACTAAATCCAGATGCCCTTGACCATTCTGGGTGAATGAAAGAATCAGCTGATGGAAGTCAGAAACAAAGCTGTTTTCTAATTCATTCAAGATTCATCGTTCACTTATCATCGCCTAGAAATATGTCTGGGGTATTGAACTCATAATAATCTGATCTAATATAATCTTTAGAATAGTTCGAAATAGGGATGGACGAGATTAGATTTTTAGTTTGAGACGAGACGGGATTTTTTCATTTCTCATAAAATTTCGAGACAGGATTTCGCCTTCTCATACATAACGGGAAATGCACGTTTGACATTTTAACCTTATTTTGTAACATTTTAAAATACTTAAATATTTATGACAGATGACTGGTTGAATACAAAAATAATAATAATAGGCAAGAATATTTAAAATCATTTATTGAATAACATCAATAAAAATTTTAGTATGAAAAAAACAAATATTGATTAGGTTTACCTTATCTAAAATAACTCTTACGCATAGGAATGGTGATAGTTAGGATGTAGTTCAACTTTGAAAATACCAAATTTATCAGTCTTACTAATTAAGTATCAAGAAACAATTTGTCAGTCTCTGTTATTTTTAGAATGATTTGGAAGTGACTTGTTTTGGCTACGTTTACAGTAGTAAAACATGTCTCACACTGCTTACAATTGACTTCACAAAACTTATCATCATTTGTCATGTAAAAAAAAAAAATAAAATACAAAGCAATATTTACATGTAAAGAATTATTTGAATAAGAACGCCTTCACTAAGAAAACGCAACAACAACGCGTTCCTGTGTTGCGGGTGCTGCATTGACTTTCTGCAGGCGTTTTTAGCAGTTATTTTTTAAAAAAACTTCTCTCGAAAAAATCTCGATCAAAATAAAATCTTGTCTTGTAGAACGAGATTTAAAATTTCTCAAAATTTCGTGACCCGTCCATCCTTAGTTCCAAATGTACTTAAGAAATTAGAAACCCTTCGAGGAAGCTCACTAACCTTCATCTATTGTCTAGGTGGATCTCTACTGACTTTTCTGCGCAACAATTCCTCTAGTCTTACGCAGAAGCAGTTACTCTTCATGTGCAGGGATACAGCAGCTGGCATGCGATACTTGGAGAGCAAGAACTGCATCCATCGAGACCTAGCTGCTCGGAACTGTTTAGTTGGTTAGTAACTACCTCTGGTTCCATAAAACCAAATTTTTATATGGTAAAGTTTAAATTAATATAAAGTATCAATGCTTTAAGACAGTGGCACATACTTGGGTGTGTAATTTATGAACTTAAGATAAATATGAATGCAAGGTGATTGTAGAACGGAGTGAGGTGATCTGTGTGGCTTCATTGCTGACTAAGATCAGCTGTTACACTAGTAAGGATAATTTATTAAAAGACCAATGATCAGGAACAGCTGGGCCCAGTTTCGAACCATCAAAAAGCTACTCACTTTTCTCAGAATCAAACTGGCAACTTTTTGATTACCAGGCAAGCACTATAACCACTCAGATAGCCAGCTATAATTTTTACATTAGTATAAAACATTTTCAAATCTCAGTTGATTTTTGGTCTCGTAGATTAGTCTCCTTCCGCTCTTCTCTATCCTCCGCCATCCGGATTTCTCCTCAGTCTCTTTGTATAGGTCACGTAACTCTCTATTTTTTTCATATCCACCAAACTCCTCCAAAAACGGGGTGAGATATTTTCTGAGGAATTTTATTTTCAAAAGCTACAAACGGTCTTAAGTTTTTCTTGGAAAGGACCCATGTATCACTTCCATGCAATAACACTAGCTATATTATAGTATAATAGTGGTCTTGTACAATCTTAGTTTTGAACATCTTGATACAAGTTTGAATGAAGTTTTGTACAGGCCCTTAAGCTCGTATTGGCATTTGCTAGTTAACTTTCTATATCTCTGATGTAAGCGTTTTTCTACCATAGTGGATGGTTTTAGTTTTTTTCTTCATTTAGCTCTTACATTCTTTTATAAAGTTTTCAGCTTTGTCACCTTAAGCCATACAAGAATAAATTAATTTACTGTGGTATATAGTTGGATAACTTGTTTATTTAAATAATGTAATATGATTCAATTTGTTGTTATATTTTTCTCATTTTACCGAAACTATTTTAAACCTGCTTACCCACCACCTCTTAACAAAGTTTTGAAAACTGTTGTGAGGCTTTTTGTCATGCCAGCACCACAATAGTTATTTAGATATTGGTTTTAGGAGCTGATAATGTCGTCAAGATCTCAGACTTCGGAATGTCAAGAGAGGAAGAAGAATATATCGTGTCTGATGGAATGAAGCAGATACCTATAAAATGGACGGCACCAGAAGCATTGAATTTTGGTAGGTATACAAACTATCAGTTGACAAAGTCTCTTCAATGATTTGTTAAAGATTATTTTAGGATATTAAATGTCAACACCTGATACAATCTTTATCCAACAAACTGAGAATAATTCTTGGTTTCAGAAATAGCACAATTCTTGTATATAGTAAAGTTAGATAAAAACCGACTCCCTTCAAAAAGATCATGGTTCTAGGAAAAAAATGCCTTTAAATTGTGTACCTATCAGATCCTATCTGACCAGTAAAAATAGCACCAAAAACTAAACAAACCCATTTTGGTTACTGCTCTTAAAAGAGACATTTCCTGTAACATTTTGTTTGAAATGTATTATCATAATATATTCAGTTTGGTAAACATGTTAACCAATTTGAAATTTTTTATCCAGCAGGAATTATACACAATAAAAATATGTAGATACAAATATCAAACAGCAATTTTTCATGTAACCATTTAGGTCAAGACTCAAGATCAAGATTTGTAAAGGTAATGGAAAGGAAGGTTGAGAAAAGTGTTGTTCTAGAATGCAGCCATAGACTATCCGATTTCTGCTCACAAAATGTCTCCGATGTACTTTTCAGTTTTCTGGCAGGCTACACACTCATATCTGTTACTAAAGGCAGGGGGGAAATTGTGGAAGATTCGTTATTTTTCTATAAGAACATGTGTTAAGTTTTGGGTGGCGATGCTGCAAAACAAAGGCGAAGTGGAACGAACGTTCAAAGAAATAGAGTTTGTTTTCTACTATTCTTTAGATAGTGTTTCCCATACCCCCATTGTCATTCCTTAATATAAAATCTGCTGACAAAATGACACACAAGTGGTTTTAACCATATACAAGAGATGTGTTCTGGCAAAGCTTTGTACAAAGATGTGCCGTGCACGTCACTTTTATATATATATTCTCAGCGCGCGAGCAACAACTTACTGGCCTAAGCGTATCAGCTGTCAACGGCAATAGAACTAAAAACAACGACCATACGAGAAATCTCTCTCGTTCGCCTTGGCTCTTGGACATCGCCGGAATCTTTTGCTGACAGCTCCAAAATAAACATAAGTATTAAGTATCTAAGTAATTTGCATAATTAATTAATAATTAATTGCATAAGTAATTGTCTTCTCCTTAAGAGAAGCCGACATCAGCTTGTCGAAACAAGGTCTAAATTCACATGTTTCTAAATTGTTCAATAATTATGTGCTGTCAATTCGATTAATTAATTGCCAAATTACCTTACTTCTATCAGGTTCCATTTTACACGATTAGTTCATCAATCAGTAATCTTGTAAATGCAATTCTTACATATTCAGGTAGTGGGTTAGTTATAAGATTTTCATGTTATAAATTACTCAAATCACAGCTCATCAAAGCTGGCTTAAGGTGTTAACGGCAATGGGCACGATCAACCTCAGGGTAAAAACCTTTCTTTTAAAATAGACAGTTAACAGCCCTTCCTAATTTCTCAACTTTATAGTAATTTGTTAATATATATTTCCAGGTCCCAATCCTCACGCATCCATACCACTCTTCCATTAACTTATTCCACAGACATGCTCAACCAATTCAATTAGTATTACCCAGTCACACAAATTTCCGACATATTGTTACAAAGAGAATGCAACAAAAAACAAACTTCCTCATCAGGGTTTGCTATATTCTTTATTTTATCACGCCAACTGTTAGCTATGACTCTAACTAATTTGTCTAGGAACAAAATAGTTACTCCATTTCTTGTGACTTGCAATAATCACAGTTATTTTTTTATTTCATAATGATTTTCCTCAGGTAAATACACCAGTTTGTGCGACGTATGGAGTTATGGAGTTTTAATGTGGGAGATTTTCGCCAAGGGAGGAACTCCATATCCAGGATACTCCAACTCCAAAGCCAGAGAGAAAATCGATCAAGGTAAACTAGGAATCATCAAACAATCAGACTTCAGCTGTCTTTTTTTCTAGACAGAACAAGGACATATGGCAAAAAATATGAATTTACTCCTTCATGTGTAAATTTTCTTGATGCCAAAGGAATATTTTGTTTCAAGGAATAATATGTAAATTATTATTAGCTATCATGATATTCAGAGTCCTAAACAAAAACATTTGTCGTCATGTAGAATAAACCAATGAATGCTTGTTTGTGGATATTTCATAAAATTAAGTATCGGGCAAACCCCTGTCATGACATTAATGAGTAACTATTTCTTGGTTGTTTACCATAATTTTATATTATTGGTATTGTAATTTCTGCATATCAAACCTTATGAGCCTTCACTACAGTTCAGTCTGTACTAATTTTCAAAGCCATATTTCTTAACTATCAATTAAATATAAATGTCTTTCTAGCAATAATTGTTGACACATCCTCTCATAATGAATCCTTTTTGCTCCCCAGGTTATCGAATGCCAGCCCCTGAAGGAACCCCAGATGAAATTTACCAGCTCATGCTGTGCTGTTGGGAGTACCAGCCTGAAAACCGTCCACACTTCGACAGAATCTTCACCATTGTGGAGAAAATCTGCTATGGTTCCACATAGCATCGGCTGAGGGGAGGTCCGTATAATTCAAGACTAGTGTCTGTCTTCAAAAGGAATTCATTGAAAATGTTTCACCGCTGAAAACTTCTTTCATTGATCAAGATGTAAAACTCACCATATGTTTTTCATTCATATCTCATTACATTTTTAAGCTCATTTTGAATGGTTGTTCTTTTGTATGTTTGTTCTCTTGTATGATTGTTCTATTGTATGTATACTTCTGTTATTTTAATTTTAACATGAATATTTTTTTCAAGATTTAGTTTTAGTTTATGTCTTTTTGTTGTTTTCTTTGTTACTTTACTATGTGCTTTTCCATGATTCCAGCCAGTTTAGCTATCCTAAAGTCATTGTTGAATTGATATAATTAAGGCACAATAGTTGTATATCTGAAAAGCTGATTTTGTATAAATCAAAGCAGGACTAATGACAGGCCATTATCATTCAAACTTCAAACAGACTTTTGCATCTTTACATATAACAAGGAACAGGATGATTCAATTCTCAATACAAAAGCTTCTTTGATAGTCTAAGCTCCTTTAGTGACATCTGCAGCAATATAATCCAAGTTTTTGCAATTGTTAAAGATCTGCAAAAGCTGAAAAAGATGCAAATATCATCAGATTAATCCCAATTATGGAGGAGATTAAACTGCCACTGTAAAAAATTAGTTGAAAGGACTGAGTCCATGATATGACTTACATGCCCATGAGAAATTCCACAGAAATGCTGTTGGCTATGAGGTATGAAGCTGAAATTGAATTTGCCAGCTTGTTAGCATCCTCATGCACTTCTATCCCTAAGTGTCAATGGAGCGTCACCTTTTGCACCTGGACAGCGCACATATGGTTGTGAGGAGGACCCAGACCATCTTGAATTGCACTCGCAAATTTCCAATGCCTTCAAAACTGTCTGGCTATCTGCTAAGATGGAAATGCTCATCTCCTTGAAACTCTGCTTCAAGTTCTTCCTTGGTACATTCTAAGATCGTTGTGATCTTGGCTTTGAAGACCTTTGGATGTATTTCCATATGGAGACATAAGTCCATCCAATTAAATTGCAGGCTTTGGTGTACCATTCCAAGTCCAAGTGTGGAAGAGGCTTTCCTCCAGACACTCTCCACTCTTTCCAAGATGGAAGAACATTGAATGAGTTTCCGAAGCAGAAGCAGATCGGCTTGTCTAAAAACCTCCAGCGGCATAATACTCACAGTTCATATGTGTTCACCCAAAGGTTTTCACCTTGAAATTGGTATACAGCCTTGCTCATAATTACCTGGTAAAGATAAATCACTCTCAGGCTGTGAAGATGGTCCAGCAAAGCTCCCGAATTGGGCCATCTCAGACCACACAAGTGAACTGTATGCAATGGCAGGTATGACCACAAAACATACATTGCATGAGCATGAGCAGCCCCCTGGTCTTTCCAGACTATCTGTATACACCAGGATATTCTCCTCTTTAACCATTTGAATTTTAATACACTTTCAACTAGATATTAATTTACTATCCTCTAAATTTCAGGCAGGGCCGGTTTAACCCATACGCGAACTACGCGGTCGCATATGGCGTCACAAAAAAGTGGCGCCAACAGGACACAATTTTTTTCCAGAAGACAAAATTGGAAACATCTTTACTGACAAGTGAACAACTTAATTTTTATTTGTTCAGAGTTCAATCCAAAGCATTTATTCTGTTTGTACCAACAGCACATGAAAAATGTGTATACTTGTACAGCACTTCAACTCAAGGCATTAAATTGCAGTTTCGATTTGTAGTAAGCAGATGTTCGGCAGCGTACAGCGTGGCGCCTGTGGGTTTCATTTCATGACTCATGGTCAAGATAAGCGCTCAGCGCCACTTGTCACAACAAGAAACTTCCCGAAAAAAGTCTTTTATTGCAAGTATTCTTCTAACCTAAACTTATAAAAAAGTTCTTCCCAAAAAAATTTCACAAATCGGGTTAACTTATGTTCATGGGGGTTGAGGTGGGGGGGGGGAATTCTAGGTGGTGCTGATTTGGGTGTTCGCTTAACTCTGAAAAATTCCTAGAACCGGCCCTGATTTCAGGTACCTCTAAATCAGCAACTAATATTGCAAGACTAATATTGCTGATCACAGCATGTATAAATTCCCTTTTAACAATCAAACTTGAAATTAGAAATCATTTAACAGAGGGGCTTTAAATAATTACGATTATCACTAACTTTACCCATTCATAACTGAAAACTATATTCTGCTTTAATATTCAATACAAATTTCAACCTAACTGACTGGTCTACTTATCGTATCGTAAGATTTGTATATCACTTGGAAATTCTATATTTGTACCACTTTTTAAGAAAGGCCACTGCACACCATAATGCTTTGACGTTATAATACATTTTTTCTTCACAGATATAAAGCACTCTTTTGGTAAACTATTGATTTTCTATCTGTATAGATGGTACCTACTGTAAATAATTTTACTAACAATTTCTAATCCATAAATCTCAATTATTAGTTTAACTATTCAAAAATACACCTTGATAGGTAGTAGCTCACTTGTTTGCGCAGAAGTCTGCGAAACTAAGGCAGCTATGTAGGTTAAAGTCAGAATACCATTCCTTAAAATTTATTCCTGTTCATTCTTCTTCTGAATGAACATGTCTTCTTTTCTTCTTCTTTGTTTGTTTTTAGTTTCTTCTTTTGTATATGATTCACTGTCTTTGAAGCCCATGTGGACAGATGCCCATGTGAAAGGTTAGATGCTGCTAATAGTGCTAATATCTTAAAAAGAACTATTAAATATGTAGAAGTTAGAGTAGATTTAACACAACGCTTAAAAAGTGGCATAAATGTACCTATACATTTTCCAATATAGTGAAATTATTTCATTGTTATTAGTTGTGATTTTCCAAAATTATGCTATGATAACTTTAAAACTTTTTCAAAATTTCTTAAATGAATATATTTCTTATGATTACAGCGGATCACTGGAAACACAGGGTTTTTCAGTGTAACCTGTAATGTGATGTTCCAGCTAGCTCCTCTTTATCTACTGAGTTCAAAAAGGTACTAAAACGGATGTGATCAGTTTTTTTACAAAGACTTTTACATACAAAACTTACTACCTATCCCTTATAAAATAACCATTTTAAGCTTTAACTTATTGTATTCTATTTATTGCCATACTAGTGCCATATGATTTTACCGTAGATTTCAAGTCATTTTGTTAGTAGGTTTGGTAGAGCGATGGAAATTTCAAACGAGTCTATTCAGTTAGTTGTATGAGTGCTTTTAGATTATGGTTCTTTATGAAATATTGTGGTAATTTACAATAAGCTAATATAACCACTTATCTAAATATTTATACGATGTATTTTAGTTGATGAAAATTCAATGTAGTGTTTACAAATCATATAGAATTTTGTATTGGTCCGCAAAAATCAATTGTTATTCAAATATGTTAATTAAATTATATCTCAAGTACCTAACATTATATGTATGTTCAACAAGTATATTATTGAGTACTACTGTTTATCCAATAATATATAATAAAATAGTGAATTTTCATTTTGAAGCCTTAGTTTAGTAGGTTTGATAGAGAGGTGGAAATTATAAATAAATAATTACTTGAGGACCATAACTTTATACGTATCCTTAGCCAGTATATTGATTATTACTGTTTATAAAAAAATAATGTACTTTAGAAAATTATTATCTCTGTACAAAAGAGTACCAAACCCAAACCCCAAAAAATTACATTTTTGGAACACTTGGCTTCAATTTTAAATGTACTTTTAAACAAATTTCGAATTTCAGGAAAACTGTTTATTTTTTAAGTGATAAGCGGTCAATTTGTATATCATGTCAAATTATTTGTACCATCCAAAAAATAACAATTCATGCCTTTGAGTTCAGAACAAACTGGGGGTCATTGTTTGGGTAGTTTCAATGTATAATTTTGTTAAGAAGCAGTTCAAAACCATTCTACTATATTTTACCCCCAAAATTTTAAGACTTTTTTTTAAATGGAATTTTTACCAAGTCACTAGTCAAATGACATCCGTGACTGACTAGCATTTTGTCATTGTCTAAATGTTAAGTGTGAAAAATCCAAATAGAACAACTCAATTAATTATACAACCAATTTCCTTTTTGTGAACTATTTTTACCAGGACCAGATTTTATACAATGCAAATTAACAATGTACTTTTTGGAACATATTCTTTTGCGATATTTCGTAGCCTTATAATGCAATATTCACCCCTTATAGATTCTATAGTAACGTTGTCCTTTAGCACTTCAACATTTTTAATTTACTATGTGCTATTAAATATTCTCTCATCCGTTACTAATCATCTACGTTAACAAATTTTTATCATGTAACTCGTTACCATTAAATCATTTATTGAGTGTTTACTGTATATATGTAGTAACTTGAGTAGCATTATTATGTTCTCATTTAGTTAAGATATTGTATAAAGTATTTAAGATAGCCATATTTATTTTTACATAGAAGTATCTCTTTGAATTAATGTTGAATTTAATTTTAATATTTTTACAGTACACTCCCGATTAACCGAGGTTGTTAGGACCGAGACTACATCGGTTACTGAGAATCTCAGATAACGTGGTCTTTTAGATTTTGAGGTTAGCGGTTACGGTACCACATTAAGAAGTCATAGACTTGTAAAATGTTTGTTTTAATAATTCACAGTGAATCAAAGATGATAAATCGATTTTTTCATGGAAACATTTTTTTTAATAAGGCAGTTTTATTAAATAAACAATAATCCAAACATGCTCAACACTTCTTAAATTGTCTTGAAAAACTCTAATTCAAACTCCTCGTATTAACAAAAACACAGTACAGTAGATCTTTCTAGTTTATAAAAAACTTGTCAATAAAACACAATGTGGTAAATCTTTCTAGTTTATAAAAGTATAAAACTACTTTTTCTTTGAGTTTGGCCTGAATTACTTGACACAATCGTCATTATCCAAACATTGTTATATGACAAAGACTGGCAATAGGCGATGCAAGCAGGCAATGCCCGATCGGAATATAATCTTAGCTCAGATAACTAGGGCTCGGGTAATCAAGAGTGTACTGTAACCTTTTATGCAAGAATAAAATTGGAAGTGTGTAAGAACACATGATCCTTTTTTCCTGAAAAGTTTTTTAAGAAGTCTGTTGAATACTTTTTCAGTGCAATGTCTTTCTATAATCGTGTTGTTTTATCATATTTATAGTTATTGTTAATGTTGATTTGAGTCATTGTAAATTTAAGATTTTTAAGTGATTAAATTTCCATGTATTACTGTACTCTTTATTTCCTTCCTAGTTCCAATAACTTGCATTCACTAATGTCTTTTATAATAACACAAACTGATGCATATAAATTGTAAAGTCCAATATTCAGTACCAGCTTGACAAATCTTCCTGAAATGTAATCTCTATAAAATAGAACAACCAAATCTTAGGAAGTTAGTCTTAGGTAGTTAATGTAAAATCAAGTTAAAATAAGTTTTTGTGTAACGTCTGATAAAAAGTAGAATCTGCAGATTTCATATAACACTAATGTGTTATTCCATGTGTGAAATTCTGTCCTTTCATTTTAATCTCTGATTTGAGCTTTTTGATAGAGATATAGATAGATAGTATAGATTTTTTGAAGCTTATACAACAGCAAAAGGCGATTGATGAGTTTGAACACAGAAAATAAGGGGCTGTGAGTGAGAATGTACTTTTAGAAGGTTTTTGATCATAAGCCAGAAGCGAGTGCAGTAAATTTTACTGATTGTTATGAGTTGTTATGACAACATAATATCTGAACCTGGCATAAAATTTGCCAATAAAAATGTGTACTATCCAATTACAGTAAGGCTGATAACCAGCATGATGAATATATAGCCTAAGAACTTAAATTACGGAGGAATTTTAAAATTAATATTCCAGTAACTTACGAAATTAACGCCAGATAAATAATTACCGCCCCCCTTACTTTTAAAAGCGTTTAGATGTCCTTTGCATAAGTATTTCCTCCATAATAATGCACCATGCACCATGAAACTGATCAAAAGGAACAAAGTTGGAATAAATTAAATAACATAATTAAATAAAATGTTTTCCTATTCTGTAGTTTTTGTTGTCTGTTGTCTCTGTCTTCTCTCTTCTTCTGCCTGTCGGTGTTAGTTGGTTTGGTTTTTTTAACAAAGTTTTATTTACAATCTGTTTTACAAACAATAAGTAAATATGATGGCATTTATATAAATAAAATACAAATTGGAAAACATCAAGCAGCTAAACTTGTTTTTTACGTTTTGGGTGGTTGGTTGGCGCTATGGAAGCCAATCGATTTACGATATTCGATAGTAGTTCTTTTCATACTACGACGATCGATAACCGTATGCCTACCATATCGTTGTGAACCCAGCTCTATCCGTCACGGCGCAGTGTGGGGGGTTTTTGTTCTCCAGGGAAGGTCTCTATATCGAATCGGCAAGGACCTGCACACCCAAAATCTTCAAAAAAAGGTAGGTAACTGCTTGCCTCTTAGACAATCCCTTTTACGATACATATGAATATCTTAATACATGTATAGAAATTAGATTTTAGTTATATAGATGTGTGACAATCTGTTTTAATTAACTGTATTAGTCATATGATAATGCCCATTTCATACATGATCAACGGCAAATAAGTCATTTCATTTCATTTCTAGTGCGGCCATGTCTCTGGAGTTTTGGTCCTCCAGGGAACATCTAGTGAGAGTTATAAGCCAATCATCGGCCTCAGGTAAGAGGCACGACTCTCGGCTTTTCAAACAATGGATAAAACTGCAGATTGTTTTCAAACAATGGATAAAACTGCAGATTGCGTGCACTAGCATCTCACGTTCCTCATCACTAGTGGCAAGAACCTCTTGTGCGAAGGGGTGGGTAATTGTGGGAGAGCTTCTCACGCCAATTTAAGAAAATCTTTAAATTTATTTTATAACTTTGTAGTTAGAAAAATTAACTTTTTAATTATAAAATAATTTTATTTAAAAAATTTTTAACTATAAAATTAATTTTAACTTAAATTTTTTTATTATAAAATTTAACTGTCATAACCTAACCTAACCAACCAAACTTGCTGATAATATAAAAAAAGATATAAGTTAAGGTAAAAATCAAATGACGGTTTACTTATAATTTTTAATTACTGTATAAAATAAATTTTAATTTTTTTTTATAAAAAAAAATTACCGTCATAACCTAACCAAACTTGCTGATAATATAAAAAATATAAAATAAAAACCAAATTAAGGTTTATTAATAAAAAAATAGTTCTTAAAAAATAAAAAATATAAAATAAAAACCAAATTAAGGTTTATTAATAAAAAAATAGTTCTTAAAAAATAAAGTTAAAATTAAAAAATTAGCATAATCTTGGACAGAAAGTTGATGATGCCGGAGAGTTTCGAACCGGAGACCCTTCGTCCCTTCGATTACCAGTCTGAGACGCTAGCAACAACGCCACGAATATTGATGGAATTTATGTGTCTCGTTACGGTAATGGCATTGACTTTATATCTAAACGTAATGGTGTTCCCTCAAGAGTAGAGTGACGTCACGCCTCCCACTCCTTCGCACAAGAGGTTCTCGCCACTAGTGATGAGGAACGGGAGGTGCTATAATTGAGAGCGATTGTGAAGAAAAATTATGTTACATCATCTATCTTCTTCGCAATCGCAATGATGTTAGAGCAAATTGGGGTGGTCATATACTGCATGTACAAAATCACAGCGAGAGCTGGACATTCAACTTAGGAGACACCTAGCGGCAGTTAAACAAACTGTTACGAACGCGAATGTTAGTGACACCTGGTAGATAGCGCCCCAGCGCCAGTTCGACTTCGAGTCGAGTTCACCACTCTTCGCAGTGACTACAACGTTGCTACACCATCTTCTGAGAATTCGTTATTCACAATTTTTAAAAAGCCGAGAGTCGTAATGATCTTACGATGATTGGCTTATAACTCTCAGAATTAGAATTAAATTAATCTAGTTGTCGAGTTTTCTCAAAACATCGATGTTTCGATCAAGAGGAATCGATGGCATAAAAACATCGATGATTTCAATTCAATTAATTTATTCAGAATAAATAAACATTACATATCACTTTAACATTAAATAATCTGAAATTAGGTTCATGCGAAGCAAAGCCAGAGTGCAGGGACCGAGTCGCAAACATCAAGTGAAATAACTATATAATAACAAATACATAGAATATCAATTACATTAAATTGTGACAAAAATATATTACTATTACCTGTATTATTTTTTGCGTAATCCCTATTATAATTATTCTAATAGCTAATTACTACATATTTGTAATATAATGGTGCGGTAATGTAAATCCGAGATACAATTATCATGATGAACTATGTACAACTTTTAATCTAAATAGTAATAATAGGAAACAATATTCAAACTTTTATCAAAAGGACAATACTGGACGTAAAAAAAATGTATTATTTTTTGCGTAATCGCTTTTATGAATCTAATAGATAATTACTACATATATGTATGTAATAGAATGGTGAGGTAATGTAAATCCGAGATACAATTATCATGATGAACTATATACAACTTTGAATCTAAATAGTAATAATAGGAAACAATATTCAAACTTTTATCAAAAGCTGCACGTAAAAAAAAATCAAGCCTTGGGAAGGTATGTAGATTAAATATACTATTGAAATAATCAGCACAGGAAACTGCTCACGCATACACATACACATACTCGCACGTACAAGATAACTAATAAAGTGTATTTTTTGTAAAATATTAATAGCTTAGTATAAAATAAATAAATTTGCCAAGTTTGATCAAAATTTGTCCATAAACAAGGAAACTACATTTTACAATATTCTTAATAAGAATAACATGGGAATTTTAAATTTACAACTGTTTACCATAACCGTACAAAAACTGAGGGCCTACTAAATTATTTGTTTTTTAAGCTCTTTTAAAAAGGTCTAGAGAGAAATTGGGAAATTGTGTGTTTTGAGGGTTAAAAATGAGAAAAACGATTTTTTACCTCATAAAACCCCGTTCCCAGTTCCGATCATGCTGGTTCGCGAACTTTTCAAGTTTATCCCGCCTTAAAATTACTCAAGTTAACGCGTTCACGGTGTTTTTGGCCTCTGGGGACATCAAAATGAAAAAGTAAATCGGTCCCGGGTCTAGGTCTTACAGTTCCACCTATGGTTAATAGCTACTTCCTTATAGGGAAATTCGCTAAAAAGTGTTAATCACTCTTTGGGTAGTGGGTAGTGGCTGATTATTTGTTTATTTATAAAAGGTGTTTACTGTTGGAAATGGCAATAATGGGATTTGTGAATTGAGTTATACAAATTATTGGCTTTCGTTTTTTTACTACCCCTTTAATCTCTATATAATCGCCAAACCAAGAAGCGTGGGGGCTCTTATCAATTTGTTACACAAATTAAACTATTAAGTTATAATTTATCAAGGACTGAGTGAGCCAAATCAGTAGAAGTTCCTTCACAATGGGGAAGTAAATATTTAAATAATTTAACAAAAAATGCATTGAAGAAATTGCTTGTAGTTAGGCTATCACTATTTTCACTATCATTGCCGTTCACAACAATTCGTCTCACAGCTAGATGTCGTTTAAACCACATCAACATCATTTTTGTTGTAGATATTTTACAATACACTAACAACCGTCTAAAATACATAGCTATATTATTAATACAGGTAATGAATACTTTAATCTAACAACAGTAATAACACATTGATGCAATAATAATAACAATAATGCCGTAGCCGTATACGAATGTAATAAAAGATACAAACTAGCATTGGCTTTCGCAACAGTTCGTCTATTCACGGCTAGGAGCGCTAGGAATCACTAGCATTGACGGTCGCAACAGTACGTCATATTGTCATATAAATGGCCAATGTCGGAGGTCCACGGTCCAGCCGCAGAAGGCTGTTGATGTCTGCGGTCCAGTCAGTGCTCCTGTACGGTGCGGAGGTCTGGGCAGACGCTCTCAATAAGGAGGTATATAGGATGCGGCTCGCCCGAGTGCAGCGTCAGGCAGCACTAAGGGTAGCATCTGCCTATCGAACAGTGTCCGAACCCGCCGTCCTGGTGGTTGCTGGAGTCATCCCCGTCAAACTTTTGGCGGCGGAGAGGAAGGCAATTTATCAGCGCCGTGGGGAGGACCAGGCAAGTATTGAGGAACGCACCCGGACCTTCCAGCTGTGGCAGGAGAGCTGGGAACAGGAGACAAGGGGGCTCTGGACCAGGCGACTGATACAACAGGTCCAACCTTGGGTTAATCGGCGGTGCGGAGAGGTGAACTTCTACCTCACCCAATTTCTGACGGGTCACGGCTTTTTCCGGTCGTACTTGTTCAGGATGGGCAAAGCCGTGTCACCCGATTGCATATACTGCCCAGGCATTCCCGATGACGTGGAACACACTTTCTTCCACTGCCAGCATTGGGAAAGGCCCCGCCTAGAGGCTCAACAGTTCGTAGGACTGCTGTCGGTGGACACGGTCATACCGATGATGATGGAGGGTGAGGACAATTGGACCTGTGTGTCACTTAACATCCAGGGTGTTCTCCGCGCCAAGAAGCTTGACCTCGACCGGGATGCGGTGTAGGTCAAAAAATAAATAATGCCAGAAACGGTGCGAGCCCTGTGGGCTTAGGTCACATGTTGGCCTGACTTGAAGTAATGTGACAAACAATTCCAGGTCTGTGTCCAACAGAGTAGAGGGGGTTTTTTAGTGAGTAGTCTGTGATAAACTCAGGAGTCTCACACTACAGGCTAGCTACCTGTGTGCGTAAAAGCATTTTCCCTCCTCAACCTAAAAAAAAAAAAAAAAGTACGTCATATTGCCGCTAGGTGCCTCTAGCGATGGGATTCCCACCGTCACAACAGTACGTCATATTGCCGCTAGATGCCTCTAGTGATGAAATTCCCACCGTCGCAACAGTACGTCATATTGCCGCTAGGTGTCTCTAGCGATGGAATTCCCACCATCGTTTATCTATCTATCTTATTTATCTATATTTTTAATTCTATTAAGTGCAATAATAAACTGAACGTTATCCTGACAATTAAACCCAGCATAGATTCTAAAAATAACACGATTTTTAAATTTAAACCTATGTTAGTATACTGAATAGGCGATTTTAGTTGCAGACTCTCGTCGGGAATTTGTGGTAGCTGATAGACGACTTCCCAAATTTGCTCCAACCAATTCGCTACGCCTTCGCAGTGACTACTACGTTGCTACATCATCTTCTGTGGATTCATTATTCAGAATTTTTAAAAAGCCGAGAGTCGTAATGATCTTACGATGATTGGCTTATAACTCTCAGAATTAGAATTAAATTAATCTAGTTGTCAAGTTTCCTCAAAACATCGATGTTTCGATCAAGAGGAATCGATGGCATAAAAACATCGATGTTTTTCAATTCAATTTATTTATTCAGAAAAAATAAACATTACATATCACTTTAACATTAAATAATCTGAAATTAGGTTCATGCGAAGCAAAGCCAGAGTGCAGGGACCGAGTCGCAAACATCAAGTGAAATAACTATATAATAACAAATACATAGAATATCAATTACATTAAATTGTGACAAAAATATATTACTATTACCTGTATTATTTTTTGCGTAATCCCTATTATAATTATTCTAATAGCTAATTACTACATATTTGTAATATAATGGTGCGGTAATGTAAATCCGAGATACAATTATCATGATGAACTATGTACAACTTTTAATCTAAATAGTAATAATAGGAAACAATATTCAAACTTTTATCAAAAGGACAATACTGGACGTAAAAAAAATCGAGCCTTGGGAAGGTATGTAGATTAAATATGCTATTGAAATAATCAGCACAGAAAACTGGCGTTCACGCACGCACACACACACATACTCGCACGTACACATCAGGTAATTTTGGAAATATGTAGTTAGCAATATAAAAAGCAAAAGTACAGTTTATAGTTTTGTTCAATCTGGGAACGGCAATACCAGTATTAAGAGCATACCGGATGAAAAGGTTATAGTCGGTGTTGGGAAAAAATTTCAGCTTTTTGAATAGGTATAAAATGAGGTATCTAACAAATAATTGTGAGATTTTAAAAACTTTAAATTCGTCAAAAATAAGGTTTGAGGGATATGTACGGGATTTCCGAAAAGCTGCCTTCATGATTGATTTCTGAATTGCATTAAGAGGATAACTTCATGATTAGTATTGTACGTGTTATTAAATTTACGGAAAGTAAATCAAAGAAACGTCTTATAACACTTAAAATATATATTGACGCTTATACTGTTACTCACAAGACGGTAAATATACAAATACCCCCACCACAGCAAACCTGCAGACTAAGCGAATTTCCGTGCCACCTACGGTAATAGCTACTTCCCTATAGGGAAATTCGATAAAAAGATGGTAAGTGGTGATCGATTTCGATTGGACACTCCAATCATCGAATGACATACGTCAACCACTGGGCCTTGACAGCTCGAAGGTGATATCGAGGGCTCCCGCAAGTACTGTTCCTCTTCATGTGTAACCGGAACACCTGGAATTTCTATATTAGCCCGTGAATATTGTTGCATATCCAGCATTTCCCATTCGAGTTTTGAGATGCGCCGGGTTAATGTATCATTTTTCTTAATTAAATCGTAACATTTTAAAACGTTTTTATTTGCTCGCTTTCTTGTCCGGTACAAATTTTGCAATCCAATTTTTTTCTAACTTCCCGATGAGCTAGAGACTTGTAACTTGAAAAAGCTCACAAATTGATGACAAAGCAATATTATGTCATTTAATTTTCATATTTCCCTTGGGCTACGCCCCATGGGCTTGTTTTTGTTAGCTCGCTTTCCTATAAATTTTGATATCATTTTTAAAACGAAGTTCCCGCTGAGCTAGAGACTTGAAATGTGAAACATAGCTCACAAATGGATGACAATGCAATATTATATCATTTAATTTTCGTATTTCCCTTGGGCTACGCCCTATGGGCTTCAAAATTTTCCATGTTTACATTTTAAAAGAATGTAAGTATATCAATTAATTTAAGTCAGCTGTAAATACTTAATTTGACAGTTCGAAGAGCATAGGTTAAGAGTTACAGGTTATGCTCCCAAGAGATTCTTTATACAAACAAACATTCCAAATAAAGATAAACAGTCTGATTGCAGATAAGGTTTTTGTTAATAATGTCAATTTTTATCTATTTAGTATTCTATAAAATAAACAATATATTAAAAAGATTGATATGTTTATAGTTAGTAGGTAGGCCATACATTCAATCTAATACATAATTATATGAAAACAAACTTAAATAAACCTTAGATTTCCCACATGCCTCTGTCTTAATCTGATATAGATGCTTGAAATAGACTTAATATCCAAACACATTAAAAACAAAATCTAGAAAATAATTTATAATTAAAAAAGTTTTTAATTTAAAATTATCAATTGCATGCACCCCACGTTTTTAGTTTTAAATCTTACAAGTATTAATACTCTCCACATATTTATAAATTATTTTCTACTTTTTAGTGTGTTTGAAAAAGTTTTGTTTAAAAAAATGTTTTATTTATAATTTGTTGTTTTAAATCGTCTCTAGTTTGTTGTTAATTTTCGCGAGAAATTCATCACTGGTCTTTCTTGACATAGCCACTTCATTTTTCACTGTTTCAAACATCTTGACGATATCATCACTGTCCGGTTGATATAGGCCTATCACTATAGTTTTTTTATATTTTGTGTAAAATGTGTGTTTTATTTATTCTGACGACACATCCAGTGGATCCTTTTGTTTGCATGACGATGGGTGAGTTGCTTAAATAGCCACCGAAACATATGTAGCAATTTCGACACTACATGTTAAGGATTGTCTGACGAGGTATGTTTAACTATTACAGTATTTTTGTCATATTAACGCAATCCTGGGGCTAAGAAAATGAATTTTAATTAAATCGCTTGCTAAATAATAATTGCTTTCATAATAATTGAACTTATCGTTATCAATACTGTTTGTGAATTATCAGTTTTAGATTGTATTGTGTTCGATTCCATAACACGTTATATAATAAAATATGAGATATTATTCATTACTCCTTGCTATTTAATTATGTGATTGAGTTGAATTACACTATGATTATTAATTAGGCTACTGTATGTATAGATTAACGCTTTAATATTTCCGTACTGTATCATGAAGTGATTATTGTAAGAAAAGTAGTAACGGGTTGATACAATTATAAATACAATAATTCTTGGTTCGATATTTATCTTATAGCCTACATAGAGCTGACTATGAACATTTTGTACTTTTTCCGTGTTGTTTTTGAGAATCGAGTATATGTTTACGTATATTGATTGATATTGAAACCTTATTAAGTATAATTAACAACCTTATTGAAGATTTATATCATGTTAACAATGTTATATAGCATTTAACACCAAAATGTACATTTAGGATAGCTCAAAGTAAATTTATTTAGAGTAATTTTAGCCCGCCTCTAGGGTGAAATCGCCACTACGTGGTGGTTGGTAACTCTGCTAGTTGATTGAGAATTATAAGCCAATCATCTGTCTCTACACGGGTAAGAGACACGACTCTCGGCTTTTTAAATAATAGGGTTTTTGTATTAATTCCAAATGACGAGTGACTTGGTCAATGCAAATTGAGCATGTCATGTACCAGCCACTACAAAATCACTGCGAGTTTCTGCAAGTAAAAACGTGCTTTCAGCATACTAACACTGGTTTAAATGGAAAAAAACGTGATTTGTTTTGAATCTATATTAGGTTTGGGAAAGGTTCAGTTTTTTATTGCACCTTATAGAATTAATAATAATAATATAAATATATAAATTAAACGACGGAGGGTTAAAACTGGAAATTCAACTTGAGAGACACCTAGCGGCAGTTAGACGAACTGTTGCGAACGTCAACGCGAAAGCGCACAAAACCAACCACCAGCGCACCTAGTGGCGAAACTGGCGATGCCGATAGCGTAGCAGCTAGCCCGCTGACTCACCATCACCACTAAAAAAAAAATGCTGTCTGCAGCGCAGCCTGCGCCTGCGGCAGATTTTATTTGAACGGTTTTAGGTTAGGTTATATATAATTTTTGTTCTTTCAAAACAGTTTACAAAAAGTAACTTGTACTCTATAATCGTTCGAGGAATATATTGTTCCAATTGATTGATTTTACCCCTAAAATACATTAGGAATGGATTCCGATCGTAAGTTGGTAACAAAATTCTTCAGATAGGCTAGGTCTATTTGTCAACAAACATATTGAGGTTATTTGTTAAAGGATGATGTCTTCTACATCATTAAATTAACGATAAGGCTATAGGTACTTATATAGATATATGATTCAAATAACTTCCAAGGTGCTCTTTCAGTTAAAAGTATATTTATTTTGTAACCTGGGATAACCTCTTCCAAAGTCGTTGTTTCTATGCAACTTAACAGCTTCAATTATTACATGTCATGATTTACAATCACAGTTGTCTATCCATCTAGCCTAAGTCTATCATATCCTGGTATTTATTAGTTAAACATATGGTCTTCATCAGAACCTAACATAGCAACACTAGGCTCCCAACCATAGCCTCCTCTAATACAAGGCCGCGGTTGGTGTGTGGCATATTCCAGTTGGCCTATTGCCATGGTAGGCAGTAAGTTAATAACAGACGTCTAAACCCAAACACTGCGCTGAAGCTCCATTATGATCTAGTACAACATCTGTTTCGGTAGGCTGGGTCTGCAGCGTTGCCACTTTTGTCTCGCCACGGCCTTGTATTAGTTGGAGGCTATTACAAAACTCTTTAAACTCTCTGTTCAATGCCATATCTATTGAAGATTTAGTTAACATATATGGAGTGGAGTCTATACTGTGGTTGGATTGACTAGTTCAATACTTAACTTATTTTAAATTAAAATTCATTGGATTAGTCCCAAAACTGCGTTGAATACTAATAAGTACGGTAAACCAAAATATCTATAGTTGGCAGTTCCAAGCTGTAGACATTACAAGCTACGTTTTTTGGCGTAACAACCTTAAATCTGACAAGGTACAATCAGGATCATTAATCTGCTTTACCGCTTATTCTTACTACCGTGTATCCATACATTCACGAAGGCACTTAAACCATTATGGAACAATCTTAAAACTATAGATAGTAGGGATGTGTCGCATTAGTTGATTTCACGGATTAGATGTGTACGCAACAGTTGTCTCTCCACATCAGTTGAATACATCTGATGTTTGTCATTAGGTTGTGACCTGGCTGTTGAGAGTGGGGATAGTGGCGTCGTAGGCATTATACACCACACGAATGTTGACTAATGCGTCAATGCAGCTGTTGTTATAAATTCTCACTCATATCTATCTTAATAATAATTCTGACCTATACATATCTGATGCGTGAAGTATATTACTGATGATTAGTGGAAAGTAAATAAGAGGAAAGGTCCTAATTAAAATCAAATTTAATGCCAAATAACTTGGCCATCTTTAGAAAATAAATCATTACATATATTAGAATTATTACGTGGGAACATTAAAACACATCTAGGCCTTAGATAAACTAGGCATTTTTTTAAGGAACATTAATTGCCTAACTTTACTTGTTTTAAGTCTTGTGCGTCTATCATTGATTAGGATCCGAGCTTTAGGAAAATATTCTTTTGCATGGTACCGATGTAGCAAACATCTGGGAAACAAAATAATAATATAATACTATACGCATTAGCATTAGATAGCATTAGCAAGCAGTGGTTGTGATAATTGTGATGTCGACTGTTGTGAAGTGAGGTGGAGGGGGGGCGCCAGACAGCCGCTAGGCAGCGTTTGCAGGCTAACCTAAAACCTAACCTAATGTGAGACATTAGTGACTTTCCCGCATTAGATTCACAACGCATCAATTGCGCGGAGTAAACTGAAGTGAAACATCAGATGCCGTTGTTTTGGGCCATCCCTAATAGATAGGCCTAGGCCTGATACTAACACCGACATGATCACTTCCATAAGCAGAAACAGACTAATAGAGGGTTCAAGTCAACCAACTCCCATTATCTGAGTTAACATAACAAAACTATAAACACAAGCTGACCTGGAGATTCTTTTAATAAGTAAGGCTTACAAAAAGATTAGCTGACGTGACAAATGATTACAAATTTAGTGGTTTAATCTGAGGTATAAATATAATTACTGAGTTTATCGTGTTAATTCTATCTTCTATTTCTGTTTTAGAAGTTGAAGATTTTTTCTCAAACATCATGAAAACCGAGCAAGAAACATCTGCTGGAATAGCTGCAATCAGGACTTTGTTAGAGTATTTAAAACATGATAAATGTAAGTATGTTGATGTTTTAAGTTTAGTGTTGTTATAGTTTGTTTTTGTTTTTTATGAAGAAATCTGTCAAGTCTTTATATTGATGTAACCTATACTTTAGGCCTAATACCTTAATACCTGCTGTGACGTCGTTGACCAGAATTTCTGGATTGTGTCAAGGATAAAACTAAAAATACTATGTACACTATTTACAATGTTTTAGGCAAGATGGCGTTGAGCCTATACTCGGTGTAACGCATCAAAATATTAATCAACTGAATACATGGTCGGTCGACTAGCCAGGCTTTGACTGTTTTTAAGCGGACGGTTCACATTAAATCTTTGAGGGAGATCATTGTAGGCTACATCTTCAGAGCCCTAATCCGGAAACATCTTTGTGTTTTGGACAGCCTGCAGTAGAGTATGTGAAGCCTGTTACGAAGGTTTCGGTAGTGGTGGAATCCCCTTGTTGTGAGCTGGTGTATGTTATCCCTCACATAACAGAGTCTAAACAGTAGGCCTATATACTGGCTGAAGATAGTAAGAATTTTTAGACTTCTGAAGATTGGCCTACAGTGTTTACTGCAACTCGCCTGTAACTACTCTTTTGTGGCTAAGCAATTAGCTACCGTAGTGAATCAATTCTTTGACAATGTGTACATAATAGATTCATATTTTCTCATTTTTTTTTAAAGATTATTTTGTAGGCCTATAAACTTTATTTGGTTCTACAGAGTAGCAAATTATGCTTGAAATAAATTTTGACCGTACGCCTTTGATGAATTTAAATAATGAGAACATTTTCAAGAGCAAGGTCTTTGTAAAATATCTTACTTTAACACCGGTGAGTGCTCTAGTTCCAATCTGCCACGCTGCACGCTCACCGGTGAGTGCCGGCATCACCTACATTCCATTCAATTTCTGCGCAACAGCACACCGGGAAGAACGGGTATTTTTATGTCTGAATTTAGCTAGGAATGGGTGCTTTATTGTGGTAAAAGTTGGTTCCCCCGTAATTGTGAACCAATTGTGTTGTGGTGTAGATTGTGGGAATTTCCCCGTAAAATCCCCTTCTGGCAAGCTTAGAAATCAACTTGTCTTTCTCCCTCCAATTGGCAATACAATGGGAACGGCTAGTTCCAGACAAGTCTGATATCTGTGAGTGTTTCAGCAAACCATGTTTATTTTTGAATACCATGTTTCAATAAATTTGATTGTGGTTACTTAGCTTATGAGTTATTAGTAATCAAAGCAACTAACCTTCCCGCCCGTAACTAAACTGTGCAATTCCTCTTGGTCTTACCTGTATACCACTAAACTCTACCAATGGGAATTGCGCCAATTTAATATTTCTGTTTAAATGGACCAATGTGGTAGCGAATTATGTATTCAAATAAAATGTTTTAAGTAGGCCTACAGTATTATGTATTTACATTAAATATTTTTTGTTGGTAGATACTGTTTTCAAATACAATTTTCATTGTATTAGCCTATGTATTATAAATAAGCTGTTAAGTTTTGTGTATTAAAGTAAAATCTTTTAAAATAATAAAAAAGGAGAGCGTTGCCTGCCTATACGGATTGTGGAGACTGATTAAAAAAGCTAGGCTATAATTTATATTTAGAAAATGTCTAAAAAGTTGTATAGGCCTACATTGCGAGTCGAGAGTCAGAGACAGTTTTGACCTTTGGTCAGGGAATGTCAGGGAAAGTCAGGGAAATCGATTCCTAAAAAATAGTGTGAACACTGTTTACAAATAATCGATTTCAATACTGGTGTAATTGTTACAGCAAAAACAGTTGTTGAACTTCGAGAGAATCTAAGGACTGTCATAGATGTTATGACAAACACAGATTACCCTACAACCGCTGTTGTCTCCGGCTCAGAACTCTTCTTAAGATTTATCACCCTGGCAGCTGGCCTCGACAAAGGGGTATGACGTAATCTAACTACTATTACAGCTTATTTTGTCATATTTATCTGTTAAAGCTGGATTTGCATAGGTCCCTTTACAATTTTTGAAAAGCATAGCCTACAATGTGGAGCTTTCAGAGTGTAGGTTTAGCACTGTGTGGCTGTACCGGGTGAGCCATTTTATTTATGATGGGCATGGGTGGTGTCTCTCAAGTGATGTCCATTTATGTTTACATAGGCTGCCCATCTTTTCTGTAAACTTGCTGTTATTTTTCGTAACATTGATTGGGAGATAGCAGTGACCTTGTGTCTTATGCACTGCTGAAGTTCAGCTATATTGTGGGGCTTCGACAAAAAAACTTTACTTTCTAGAAAGGCCCATAGCCAAAAGTCACGTGATGTAGGGTCTGTGCAACATACTGTTTAGGTGCTGAAAGATTAGGACTATGCAGTACACTAGGCCTAGCGCGAACATTTTCAATAACTTCCTGCGTTCTAACTGTACGAGGCCTCCCACTTGGCTTTGTTTTGAGACCAGAAGCCATATTCCGGAAGTTAATACCCACTTTAAAAAATCTTATTTCGCCAAGGAAAGGCGCCATGACGACCAATGTTGAAGTGAGCACAAAACTGTCGTTGCGTAACAAAAACGGACTCATTATTTTTGAAAACTGTTCCAATCAGGATAGAACGATGATGCACTTACCACTGATCATCCATGGTAACTAACCTTAAAATGGTATTTTTAACTAAACAACAATGAATTCTGTGGATAATATAACAGTTGAGCATTTGCCGTATAAAATCTATCAGGTTTTTATTGCTAGACCTATTTTCCTAGAACATGATTTTTTTGTCCTGTAGCAAGTAACAACGGTATTTGCTTTGTTTTTATTGGAAGAGGAAAAAGAGATTAAAAATGAAATAGACTAGGCCTAGCCTATATTGTACTTGAAAAGCTGTTCATTCTCACAAGCCCCAAACTTACTCATAATTCTATAAATTGTTGTAAAATATCTGCACCTATGCGATCTGATGCGTTGCAGTATGGCTACTAGTTTTGACTCACTTACGAGTCATCCTCAGGCCAGTACTAAGATGTCTTCTTGCTTGCCTAGACACATGTTCCGCCCGATCAAGTGTCCTGCACCGTTCCAGTATTGTTTTAAGGTTTATTGCGGAAATTTCCATCATCATGGTAAAATACATTACACAACTTTTCACATTGAGTTTATAGTACCTATATGCTATGTTGGAGTGCATATACTTGACTGCTACTCTCCACAGCTTATTCCAACTTAGGTTGGGTTTTGTGTATAGTTAGTTACAATGTGTTAGTTAAGCTTTATTTTTCGCCTGAGGACATCACCAACAATAATCTTAAAATAAAGAACTGTACCAGTATTATATTTTGTTTTTGTTACCTATCTAAATGTTTTCGTTTTATGTCTGTGTATGTGTGCACGTCTTATTTATTATCAATTGAAGACCTTTAAATGAAGCAAGAAGACATCTTAGTACTGGCCTGAGGATGGCTGGCATGTGACTCGAAAGTCGAAACCAGTTTCTATACCTCAACGAATCAGATCGCATGGATGCAGATGTTTCACACCAATTTATAGTATTATCGTAGTATCATGTTTCTATTGAGAGTTAAACTGTTGAGATTTTTATTTATGTGAAGGATGTAGATATTTACAACAGTTAAAATCTTTTCTGGAATAAAATTGGTCTGCAGCAATCTTTATTCGATCGGAATTGGTTATTATCCAAATACATTTCTTTTGGGCGAGAAGTGCATCAATCACAAGGCCTATTTCCCTAAGCGAAAGGCTTAACACCAGACAGCTGCCCAACAAAACGTTAAAAAACTAAAGATGTGTCGAATACTGCTGCTGTGCTACCCAATGTGTGGTGCACATAAAATGCTGATCTAGGAGAAACCAGTATAAATGGTGTACCAATTCGTCTTTGAGGGTATATGTAAAGCAGGTCAATGTCGAATTAATCCATATATACATAAACATAGTCGATTCTTGATACAGTAGAGTCCTGCAAACTCGGCGTAATGTGGACTGGAAGGGTGCCGAGTTTGTGAAATGCCGGGTTATCGGGAACTAGGGTTAAAAATAAGAACAATACAATTTTTAAGCTAATTAACTACCTCTTTTATTTATATTTATATTACAAGTTAGTAATAAGTCATCAGATATAGTAAAACAAATCATTTGTACGAGCTGAGAATGATTTGACTTGAGCTGGCTTGAGTCCATGTTTAACTCGGACTCAAAAAATCACTAATTTTCTGAGCCAGGTAATGGCCGAGTTATCCAGACTGCCGGGTTATCGAGTGCCGAGTTTGCGGGACTCTACTGTATTCTATTTATTTGTTGGTTTAAGATTGTCTAAATAGTCAAGTATAGACTACTGTCTGTATTGTAATATTTCTTAAATACCATCCTTATGGCTGATAGGGCACAAGAGAACTCTATGTCAAAACTACCACCTACAATCCCCTTAAGTCCCACATTATGTTTCAGAATCATTTTACAATCGTGTATTTTATTTTATAATAAAATACCTAAAAAAATAAAAATGAAATTGAAAAAAATTGATTTTTAACCAAACACTGCTTAACACTAATACCGAAACCCCGGTCTGACAGGCCCATGGGAATTTTCAAAAATGCATGTTGGCAACACTGTTTACTTGGGAGATTCCATTCCCCTAATACCTTCCCCCCTTTTCCTCCCCTACCTATTGATATATTGTTTGTTCATTTTGCATGGGTGCCGTGACATTGAGAGGTTGTCTGTTTATAACATGGCCGTCTCAGAAGCCGAGGGTTTCGGTTTGTGTGTGTCTAAGCGGGGTCCATTATTTTTCGAATGGGGTCTCACAGACCGGGGGTTTCGGTTAACGTCAGCCTAGGTAGGGTTTCGGTATTAGTGTTAAGTATAGATCATTTGCAAATTTAGTATTGCTAAGTCTGTGTCTTTTGTTCATTATTTATTCATTCACACTGAATCCCTGTAGTTTGAATAATGTAAAGCCTTTTCTTAACGTCTGTTTCATGTTGTTTATAAAAAAAAAACCTTTTTACCTATAAAACAATATCTGTGGCTAACATTAAATGTATTAACGAAGCCTACCAATCTTGACCTATTAACAGTTCGTCCACAGAACCATTTGTCTGTTTAGACCTACTCAAGTAGGCTAAAGCTATCTTTCCGTAAAAAATTGTATAAGTGTAAACTAAATGGTGATGTTTATTTTGTTTTAGTCATTTGAAGAATGTAAAGAAATTATGATCAAGAGAGGAAAGGTGTTCCTGAATAAACTTATGAAATCCAGAAGTAGAGTAGCAAAACTGGCTGCTGCCTTCATCAGTGATGGGTCTGTGAGTATCTACACTTAAAATAGACTGTTGATTTAATAAAACAGAAGTTGTATGGAATGCTCAAAAAGGAAAAACCCTCAATTCCTGTATACAACACTCAATTCAAAAGTATACAAAACAGTAGGCTACCAAACGATGGTAATTAACATATATACAGGGTGTCCACATAAGATTAGCACAATTTCATACCTACGTCATTTAGTAATTTTTTGACGTACGATGCTACCTGTGTTAGTTGTTTTGGCAAGTTCGCTTGTCTGAATAGATATTGTGACCTTAAATAAAATTGTTGACTAGCAGATATAGATAAGGTTGGCAAACAAACTAACTTCCTTAATTTCCTGACATCACCCCATATGACAGGGTTTACCCTTATGGTAAATAAGGGACATAGTCTACCAAACAAAATATCTCAGTTGATGAATTAAGGAAGAAAACTATGAAATAAATTGAAATGGTGTTACAGTCTAATCTTGATATAACGAACCTCGATATAACGAATTCCTTGATATAACGAATTTTTTTTAATCCCCTAGAACTCTCCATAAGACACAATGTATATTTTACCTCTACATAACGAACAAACCACAACAACGACCTTGATTTAACGAATTTTTCGTGATTTCGGCTAAAATAAGACACCCCAATATAACGAATTTATCATTGTCAGAACCTCTACATTGCGAATTTAACCTCTGCATAACAAATTGTCTACGTCTTTCCCTCGATATAACAAATCCCCCACTCAATTATTGTTTTGGGAAAATCTGTTTCTTTATCAAATTAAATGGAAAGGTCACGTCATCGCTTGCGCTAAGATTCGTCTGCTCCGTTTTACATCCTTGTCTGCTGTCGCTGCGCGCGCTATGTTGCAACTGAGAACCGATTTCATTCACTGAGGACTGATGACGACGTAATGTTTAGTAAGCTGTGATTGGGCGATATGGGATAACTATGGTGAATTGTACAATTTTTGGATAAAGAGAAACCTAAGAAAGAATATAAAAACAAAACCAAAGAGAAAGAATAGCAACATCGTTATTTTAACATTTCTTTTACGAGTGTTTTTATTATCCTTAAGTTGGCTATGATTATACACTTTTCTAATGACTTATCTAATAATTTATTGTTTTCAATACGATTTGTTTCAACTAGCAACACCTATAGTTGATGATTATTATTGACATTCCTCTGTTGTGATAAATCAGTACTGTACTGTAAGTAGCCTACCGGCCTATCACGAGCAGTAGCTTACAAAACTTTCTACTACTGTTTTGTTTTGTTCTTTACATGGTTTATGACTACGCAATACAGTGTTTGGCTAGGTTTTAGGAGGGTTGGATCATGCTGTGATTTTAAACTTACAGTTTTTAACCTGTACCAAGGTCAATGCCATTGTCATGATTGCGCAATATTCAAGATCCCTCCCCTTTATTATGCCGGATAATTTAGGTTCTACTGTACAGTGTAAACACTGTACTATAAAGTATTGTAGCCTAAGCTACTTTAATTGCATTTTAATGAGGTCGAATCCCGACCTTTATTGACCGACATTGGTTCTGAACCCCAACTTAGCGAAATTCCTGCAAACCTAACCTCTATATAACGAACCTCGTTTTAACGAAATCCTTGATATAACGAATATTCAGTTCGGTCCCTTCAGATTCGTTATACTGAGGTTGGACTGTATTTGGAATCCTGAAGAAAGGCATTCATACTTATCCCTCTTAGTTCATCAACTGAGATGTTTTTGACAAGTAGGCAATGTCCTTTATTCACCCAATAGGGATAAAACACACTGAGTGGCGTCGAAAAAAACTAGGAAGCCAGAATGCCAACCTCGTCTGTTAAATCTCTGCTAGTCAACATTTTCTATTTTAGGTCACAATATCTATTCGGATGAACAAACTCAGCAAAAAATTTGATAAAAACTATACTTAGCATGCAGCCGATACAAAAAAACAAATGTAGCCTATAACATCGTGTGTTGAAAAGTAACAGTGTTGCTAATGTATGAAATTGTACTAACCTTTTGTGGACACCCTGTATATTGTATTACAACATACTTGTATTTGTATTTGATAGGAATAACAATAAATAACACACATATTTGAACACAATGACACTCGTAAATACTAAAAACATGCATAGTCTTTAGGGTCACATAAAATATTTACAAGACAGAAATGACCGTGAATATACTTTGAAAATAATGTATAACAGTTTTATGTTTTTGAACAGAGAATCATCTCTCTTTGATTCTACCGTAGATTATCTCATATTCAGACCTTTTAATCCAACTACACCAGACGGAAGTGAGATCTCTTTAACCAGACATTATTATCAGTACATTAATTGGTTAAACTGGACTAGATTGGCAAAAAGTGGGTGGGTACTGAAACGACATCTGGTGTTTTGTGGTAACAGCAATACTCAATACTTAATGCATTTGGCGACCAGACCATACAAAGTTAAATATTTATAGCCCATACAGCCGATAGCGACTAAGGGGCCTACAGTTTATAGTGGAATCCTAACCACATTTTGCCTTGTAATTTACAAATTGGTCTAATTATCAGGATAATACTGCGGATAGTTATAGTACTCACAAGTGCAGACGTTAATCCACACAAGGGAGTATCGCATCCACAGTACATGCCTATAAATATCCACAATTCGTGACCTCGAAGTAGCTGGATTACAGGACGACGACGTCGTCTCAGTCTTAATTACTCATCCCAAAGTGTATTGTCTTACTATTTTTACGTAATAATCATTATTGGCTCATATGTTATGCATTAAACGTTCCTAATTTAACAAGTCAGGGGACGTTAGCTGACTGGCCTTGGTCCAAATCAGACAGGCTAAGATCCCTCTTAGCCTACTGTCTACTGTATTCATTTTTCGCAACACAATTTTTTCTGCAATTGGAGCATTTTATTGCAAACATATCAGAAGGGGTAAGAGAGGAGGGGTCCATCACCTTGGGTGGGCTAGGCTGGAGAATCATTGAGCGAAAGTACTGTAAAGTGCCCTCAACCTATTTAACCTACAAATTTGATCCTGTATAAAAATATGTTATAAACATACCAAAAAATTACCTAGAATTGTGAGGTTGCAAATTTTAAGGGGAATAAAAACCTACTTTAAGTAAAAAAAAAAAAACGCTAGGAATTACCCATTTACATTCACAATAGCCTTCACCTAGGTCTATGTATTGGCAATAGTTTTAGCTATGTGCAAAGAAACATAGGCCCAGGCTCAAACACAATATAGTGTAAACAGTAAACACACACTCACGCGATGTATTTATTTATAATTTCATGATGGGTTAGCCTCTGGATCAAGATAATGCAAAAATAAAAGGTTTAATTTACCTGTTGCGTCGATTGATCCTTAAGTTATAAAATAACTATGGCCGTTTCGTGCTACTAAGCAAGCACATCTTCAGGTTGTAGGAACGTTAAAATGCGGTCTTCTCATCCGTGGATGGAGTCGTCAGCACGTTTAGGACACATAACACTAAACACATCCGAAACCAATGAAATGTAAATACTTAAATGTTTTGTATGTGTTTCGTGTTATGTGTCCTAAATGTGCTGACGACTCCATCCACAGATGAGAAGACCGTATTTTAACGTTCCTACAACCTGAAGATGTGCTCACTTAGCAGTACGAAACGGCCGTAGTTATTTTATAACTTAAGGATCAATCCACACAACAGGTAAATTATACCTTTTATTCATTTATAATATTTAGTAACACTCCAAACCGACCAGATTACATCTAACTTCAACCTGTTGGTGTGGATCCTGATCCAAACTATTTTTTATCTACAGAGTCAGCCTAAAAGCTAGACAAAACTCTCTTAACACTTTTAGAAGGGTGAGGATGATATAGCTGCACTTGAGTGTCTGCAGGATCTCCAGAGCACTTCTGGGGCTTTGAACCTTCAATTAAATTTAAATGATTAATTAGTTAATACCCCCGCCGCAGCAAACCTGCCGACTAAGCGAATTTCCATTTGTCTGAATTGGTTTTCAGTTTTATTTTAATAACATTAGGTTTAACGAGTACCTAGGTTTGCTGCTACAAGGAAACTAATAAAGTGTGTTTTTGAGTAAAATATTGATAGCTTAGAACAAAATAAATAAATTTGCCAAGTTTGATCAAAATATATCCATAAACAAGCAAACTACAACATTTGACAAGATTCTCCATAAGAATAACATGGGAATTTTAAATTTACAATTTTTTTATAATTTTCTCCGTTACTAATAATTGAACAAAAATACTTTTATATACTAAATTATTTGTTTTTTTAAGCTCTTTAAAAAGGTCTAAAGAGAAATCGGGAAATTTTGTGTTTTGAGGGTCAAAAGTGAGAAAAACCAATTTTTACCCCATAAAACCCCCCGTAAAGCCCCGTTCCCATGGTCTGATCGTGCTGGTTCGCGAACTCATTCAAGTTTATCCCGCTTTACACCTTTAAACCAAATTTCATCAAAATCGGACAAAAATTACTCAAGTTATCGCGTTCACGGACGTATATATATATAAGTCTATATATATATATATATATACATATATAAAAATTTGAACAAATGGTGTTTTTGGCCTCTGGGGACATCAAAATGAAAAAGTAAATCGGTCCCAGGTCTGGACCGAACAACAACACAATCTGGAAAGAAATTTGAGTTGGCTGGTTCTAGGGGTAGGCCTATGCTGTTTTGTGATTACAATTTTATTCCTCCCTGGAATTTATCTTTTGTCAGGGGATGCGAGGCTTATGCTCACATTTTGAACATACCACTGCTGCATTGGTACATTGTAAGACTGTATTTACAGCATAATCTCCATTAACCAATCTTCATCATTCTTCGTTATATGACCTTCCCTGTGTTAGCCATCCCTTCCTCACGGATGACCGAGGGCCATGAAATCACCTGCTAGTTCCTTGTGGTATGACTGTCCCGTACCAGATACTTCAAGACAACTATTTTTGCTGCCTTTATGTGAACTCGAAAGTTACTGGGTTTAGGGGCTATTCACAGTACCAGATGTTTTGCAAAGTACCTTTAACTGAACTTAAAAATCATGTATTTAAAAACTTTTACCTTGACTTATTTCAACTACTGTAACCTTGTAATCAATAGCCTACTGAGGCTTCCAGGAGACTTAAGGGAGAACTGAATTCCTGTATCAGATTCATGTTTGGCCTGAGACGATATGACAATTTTACTCCTTTATCTGCTTTCATTCGTTAAGTATGAACTTCGGGTATTTCCCACCCTCTGTCTTCCATACCTACTCCATTATCAACAGTAAAACTCTCAAATATCTGATAACTTCAATTTAATTTCTGACATCAGCACCCGTGCTACTCGTAGAGGCTCTCATCTTTTATCTACACCAATTCACCAGTCAACAGTTTTTAATAAATATTTCGTAGTATCTGCGATTCAAATGTGAAATTTTCTCTCCCTGACCATTTTCATATTATTTACCAAACTTTAGGAGTCTGCATTTTCAGATTTTTTTGTGCTCTGCTTACAACACAGTTTGTCAACTCTTCATACCTTCATGTCTCTGCTTCTCCTCGTGTTAATGGGAACAGACACCTGTGGGCGAATGGACAGATAATGCTGAATTCTATATTTGATTTGATAGTTACAGTCGGCTTAGTTGCTTTTTTGTTCAAGCAAATGGAGAAAGATGTCAAAACAAGAAAATCTAGATAAAACTGCATCTTAAATCATCTTTTCCAAACCTTTCCATTTCCATTTATTTGATCAAAATTATCAAAAGAACTTAAAAATGTAAAATCCACTTGTATTTTTAAATCTATATAATTAATACGCTACATGAAACTTTGTCGGTTGAACTCCTCCGCCATTTCTTAACCGATTTTATCCGTTGATGTCTCATTGGAAAGAGCGTGTCGCGTAGATTTGCAAACTGGCCTTACATTTCTGAAAAATCCCTTGGACTCTGCCCCAGTGGCTTAGAAAGTTCCCATGTTATCTTTATGAAGAACATAATTGTTTACATTTTGATCAGCTGTATAGTTTAACTGCTGTTATTTATTTTTCAATTCAATTTTTACTATTTGAGTTTGTGTAAACATAACCCCCAAGACGGATCGTGTTAGTATGGTTGTATCTTAAATTTGTGTATTTATCGTCGTTTTGTGCCGCTACGACGGATCGTGTTAGCACGATTGTAACTTAAATGTCTGCATTTATCGTTGTTTTGTGTAGCTATAATTTGTTTTTTTGTTTTTTTTTTTCTTTTAAATGCCTCTGACGTGACAACAACGAAACGTAGACAGGAGGCGTAATCGTGATAACGACCGCAGCTACAGAACAGTAACGCGTAATAGGCTTAACTCATCACAGTCAGCACCTGACCCTGGACGATCTCAACTATTAGGTTACAAATGCACCCTAACACTAATCCAAAACGACTTTTCGTTTTCAATTGGCCATCTATCAATGACCTGTGGTGCCTGTACATCGAGGCATTTTGAGAAGGAGAAAACCGGCCGGAATTCTTTAGGTTTATCAATAACGAAGATAATCGTGTTCTGAGTTACACGCCGGTACCTATCCTTGAGTTGACTCTTTTAAACTCATTGTAAATATGACTGTTATTCGTTTTTAAATAACTCCTGTAATACTTTGGAATTGCTCGAATTCGAGCAACATGTACACTAGTTTAAATTAATTGTTAATTTTATTTTACAGCGTATTTTAACACATTCAAGATCAAGAGTGGTTCTTCAAACAATGAAAGAAGCAGCCGAATCACATAGGAGATTTGAAGTGTATGTGACCAAATCATCCCCTGATAGCAGTGGGTAAGTTTTTTTTCATTCCTGGAATCCTGAAATATATTTCAAAACAATTTGATAAAAAGGTTAAAGGTTGGCTGCCTTTTTTAATCAAGCTTTTTGCCTGTGCATGGAACGTATCCAGGAAATCAAGGGGTGAGCCGGTACAGTAGAATTGACATGCATGAGACGTTGCCGGGGAGGTGCTCACAAAACATTAACAGATAATATTAGGACAACTCAAAACTTTTTCTCGCGTATAATTATAAAAAAACCATACAATGTAGCTCTTTTCCACTTTGCCAATAGTTGCATTTTACCTGTTCAAAAACTTTTTACAATTAGGCCTAAAGTCTTCAGATTTTTTTCATCTGTAGCGTAAATAGAGAAAACATAATGCCAAATCATCTTTATAGTACAAGAAGCTTTACAAATAAATTTGTCAAATTACCCAAAGTAAATAACACATTTTTCCATAATTCATTTTAATACTGGGTCCTACATTTTTCAACTTCCGTTTTGAATAAAAAATTCAAAAATGTTTATATATTTCACTTGGCTTAATTCTCAACAGGATGTAAAGGGTGGTCCATAAATAACAGATTATTTTTAAACATACCTCAATCAGCTGTTGTTACTCGTCGAATTTTCATTTTTGTATCAATAAACAACAAATGTCATGCCGTTTGAGTGATCATGGATTGTTGGACAGTACAACACAGTGCCTTTTGCATTGAAGCCTATTTTAATTATAAGTGACATTAAAGGCGCCCCAGAATGTTTTGCATTTGATCAGCTGAAAGATTCTTTGACAAAACACCAGACGTAATGTAGGGTCACCTTGATTGAGCTTCTGTGTAACAACCAGTTTGTAGGGATACAAATTCAAATCGTCGTGTAAAATAAAATGTAAACTGGTCCTAGAGCACCAACACAATGTTTTCTTGTTGATCCTTTTGGACTTCGGAGAACAGATTCCCGAACTCTTGCGGTGTTCTCATCTGTACGTACAGACTTTGATCTCCCCAGAGGTTTATTCTTTAGAACAGGTCCCTTGGTTCTTAAATTAAACACCCACCTATAGATAGTATTCTTAGAGGGAACCATACCATGACAACGGACGTTGAAATTATTTCGAAATAACAGCTGAGTTACAATCACAGGCTCGTTATTTTTTAAATAGGCTTCAATGCAAAAGGCACGGTGTTGTACTGTCTAACGATCCATGATTACTCTAATGATTTTAATTTGTTGTTGTTTAATACAACGATGAAAATTCTACGTCCAACAACTGATTGACACTTCTTTAAAAATGATCCGTTATTTACGGGCCACCCTTTAGGTTATCTCACCAACTCCTTAGTATACAAGTGTGCCTTGTCTGTGTGTATTTTTTGTTTAGGTATTCTCAAACTGAATTAGCCCCAAATATTACAGCAGGAGATAAAATATTTGTAATTTGATGCCAGGCTCAAAGTATTAATTTATTTACTATCTATCCATGACTTCATCTGCAACTAGTCACACTACTAGAACAATTTACCAGGAATAAATTACAGCGGGATAAATTCATTTATTTAGTTTTACTGCATCAGACAACTAAGGTACAGTGGAAACATTAAATGGGACAACTAAGTGTGTCTAGCACTAGTGCTGGTGTCTAGGACAAAGTCCAACACTGACCCCCTCGCCCCCATGTACTAAAACACTGACGGTGGAGGAAGACCCTGTGCCCTGTGCGATAGGAATTTCTGCACAGTGCTCGCCGTTTGGGTTCTTCCTTACAAGTATATTTCCCGCACAACATACTAGAGCTGAAAGTGCACGGTCGTCCCATAAGCTTTTTTCCTCTGTACCTTACTTCTCTGTGGTACTGCAAACTCACTGGCGCTTAAGTAGTCCTTAAATCTCAGCTGCGAGTGCTAGTGTTGCATGCAGTCCTTATTCCACTCGTCCCAGCCGGCCTGCAGTGATATGGTGGCTCTTTTGACTAACATGTTGCACTGACGTGGTTAGCTTTGAGGGTCTTCATGCGCTGTTTCAATTCCCGTACGTGTGTTCATAAGCTTACTAACATGGCCTATGGGAGAGTCCACCTAAATAATCAGTGTTTGACTTCGGTGGAAGTTGACTGCATTATTAATATTAATAGAAATTTCACACAGTTCTTGGCTTGCTTCTTTTTACACTAGTTTAGAGGAAGAGAACTTAGATTGCCTTTTAGCGAACTTCCGATATAGGGGATAAACTATAACTGTAAGTCTCATAGTAAGACCTATCCCCACGACTGATTTTCTTTATTGTTTTCAGGTCCCCAGAGGCTAAAACACCATCTGTTCAAATTCATATTATGTGTCTGTTAGCACGTTAGTTCGAGTAAAAATGATCCAATTTTGATGAAACTTGGTACAAAGCTTATAAGCCTATGTTTATTCTAACAAGTTTGCGAACCAGCATGATCAGATCATGAAAACAGGGCCTTGTGGGGGGGGGGGGTTTATGGGGTAAAATTTGTCTTCTTATTTTTGATCCTCAAACATAGAGTTTCCCAATTTCTCTCTAAACCATTTCGTAGAACTATAAGAAACAAATACGTAATTTAGTACTTTGAAGAGTTTTTTTTACATTACAGGAAAAAGTTCAAAAACTGTAAATTTAAAATTCTTATATTATTTTTATAGAGTTCTTATAGAGTGTTTGTATTATTTTTGTTCATGGATATAGTTTGATAACATTTGTAAATTGATCTAGGCCTATATCATACTAAGCTATTAACATTTCAATGTAAAACACACTTTATTACCTTTATTGTAGCAGCAAGCCTACGTACTCATTAAACTTAGTGTAATTTAAATAGGGAATAAATCTGAGAATTTAAAGGAAATATTGAAGTGAAAATCAAATTAGGCAAATGCAAATTTGATTAGTCTGTAGGTTTGCTGCTGCAGGGGGTATTTTATTTTGGTCGAATATGGACATTTCATGTTGAAATACGTTTTTGACATGACAGACCTATAAGAACCTGTACATGTATAACCAAAAAAATTGCATTGACAAAAAATAGAATTAATTTCCGTGTCAGTGGATTAAGTATTAATTTGTTGGTTAAATATCTACTAAAGCAATTATTTTGTTTACAAATAAATTGTTTTATGTTATTAAATTTATATGTGTTCTTTTATATTATTTTATACAACTTGATTAAAATTCTTCATATGTTATATAACTTGGAGTACGCTCCGAAGTCACATATGAGAATGAACTAAGACTATTCCATACATACAAACAATTTGTTAACAGTGACCATATTCATATCAGCTGATTAAGCAGGATGGTTTATGGCAAGGAAACCTTGGTCCAAGGTCATATGAAGACTGAATGGTTGATTTCATATTGCACTTTTCTAGGGACGAGATGGCTAAGGAGCTAATGTCTTTGGGAATTCCTTGTACTGTCATCCTGGATTCTGCCATTGGATATGTGATGGAGCAAGTGGATATGGTCATGGTTGGAGCGGAAGGTGTCATGGAAAGTGGTGGAATTGTCAACAAGGTAAGTTTGTGTTCAAACCAAAAGCTATATCCAGTGGGGTTCCTAAGGAATCTCACAGCGTTAGGAACGTTTTTGTTTTTTTTTTTTCGCTTCTCGTTAAAGTAAGTTCAACGAAAGAAGTACAGTAGATCCCTCTAAATTGACCCTAACTAAAAATTTACCAGACTTCAATTCAATTCAATTCAATTCAAAATATCTTTATTCATTAGTATATAAAATTGTATATACAAGAATGGTGTCAAATTCATCATTACATAAAATATCAACACAAATAAAAGACAAATACAATACACAAGAACAAAACAACAAAATAATACAGTCATCTCTCAAGTAGACATAAAACAAAAGCATACTTCAGTGAAAACAAAAATATAGTTCAGTGAAACAGCAATAGGCCTAAAACATTTTAACTTTAAGTCAATGCTGTTATTGCTGAGCCCAGAAATCTTTGAATTTATAGAGAGCATTTTGTGTTAATTTTTTTTTTTTTACTTAGATCTGATAACTCAAAAGGTTGATTCAAACGGGCAATCCTTTAAAGCTTTAGGTGCTCTTCATTTGGAATCATAATCATTAACTTATTCTGTAGTCGTGTGTGCATTATTTACAAAATAAAGTACACTTAGGCCTATCACCTTCTTTTCTTAAGTATTGATGATAGAAAAGTCACAAATAAAATAAACCCAAAACACTGTTAAGTCAATCACTTTCAGTGAAATGAACTATAGTCGTAGGCAAGAGTCAATAAACAATTTTATTTTAATACCTTTAGTAATATTAAATTGATGTTTTTTAAATCTATCTTAACCATTTTGTTATGAAATAGGATGTTTATTTACATATTATCATCCTGCAGAGTTTAGCATATTGTTCCCATCGTCGATCGTGGGTGTAGAAATGCCGAGATTCCTGGAAAGGCAGTTAAACCAAAATGCTCTCAAAACAGTCGGTTAAAACAAACTGTAATATTTTTCGAGCGAGAGTGAATAATACGATTATCTGTTGATGCAAGGTAAGAGGAGGTCTTCTGTAATCTGATAAGCAATGGTCTTAGACAAATGCTTACAAAGAACTTGTTGTCAGCTCCGATGCTGATTAGATTTTTTGTCAAAAAAAAGGTTCTACTGAGATCAGATGAAAGAGCTGAGTCCAAGGAATCAATAAGGCTTGGGGTATTATTGATTTAAAAACCATAAGTTTATAGGGTTTTAAATATATAACAAAATAATTGAGAAATATTTAGGCCTAATATTGAATCATCTTTTAAGCTGTGTTTACTCTAGGCCAGTAGAGCAGGCAGGTTACCTACTTCTAGTGTATTTAAAGTTATCTGAGTCATGTAACCTGCCCACCAACTAGCCGTGTGTAAACACATCTTAAGAGTCCTTAGAGGCTAGCGGCCATCTCGGATTATTTCCAACAGCTGATGAATGGTTATTTATCACACAAAAATATGTTTTCAAATACCAAAGTGATTTAAATATCTAGTGCACTGTGAGATCAGAAATTCTCAATGTAGTTTTGTAATTGTTTTTCAAGGGAGTCCATGGAGGCTAACGGCCATCTTGGATTTGTCTGCCATAAGAGCAATGTTAATTTTTGCTGATTTCAAACAGCCGCTGTATAGTTTTTTACCATCTCAAAATATTTGAAGATACCAAAGTGATTGTAATTTATATTTAAATATCTAGTGCAATGTCGGATTAGAGATTTTTTTCCTACTTTTGTTATTGTGTTATGAGTTATAACGTCTAGGCTCTAAGTACTCTTAAGGGCATTTTTCACATCATAATTAATCACTTAATTATTTCACTGAGACAGTAACATACTTTGTGTATGTATTTTAAGCTAAATGGGTGGATGTTAAATGAAGTTGATTTTCTGCTTATACGTTATTTAAATACCTGGGTAGTTTTTATAGTACTTGCATGGTAATAAAAAGGTTTCCAGGTTAATCCTGAAAAGTCAGTAGCTTTTTGATGGTTCAAAACTGGACCCAGTGGACCTTGATTAATTTAATAATGTTCCTAACTAATGAAACAGCTGATCTTGTTGAGTAAATAAGCAACACAGACGATCTCACTTCAACCTATACCCACCTTGCGTTCATATCCAGCCTAAAATACACGTCGCTGCCTCAAAGAATTGATTTTTAAGAGATGTTGGCTCTTTTACCTGACATTTGCCCATCCACATGGGCCACAGAGGCCTGTGCTTGGAACATAACCAGCAAGGCAAAAGGAGAGCCAGTATAGTACAAGGGTGCACTGTAGGCCTTCTGTTAAAAAGTAGTGGCAGATACCAGGAATACCCCTACCTTTTCTTTTGGTCTTAGGACGCTAGACACGAGCTTGGGATTCAGCTCGCTCCCCAATTTCTGTGGCGCTACAGACTGAGCCCCAATTCATCGAATGTCAAGTCATCATCAATTTATCCACAAATTATCTTTATTAACTGCTGCAGATCAACTGCCCCTTTAGCCAGGATTGTCTATTGAGATCCCTAAAATCCCGAAGATAAGAGATCGCGAGGTCCAGTTTTGACCTTCAAAAAGCTACTGACTTTCTCAGGGTCAAACCAAGTAGGGTCAAACTACTTCGCTGTCATTAACAATTTGGTTTGTAATAAATTATCCTAGCCAAACTAACAGTTAAGCTTAGTCAGTTACACAGCTTGACTAATAATCTCACTCCATTCTACATTCACCAAGCATTAATATTCTGTTTAAAATACACTCACAAACTACGGTTTGTGGCTCGCATCGATTTTTATCTCTTGTGTTGGCCTTTACAACCCAGGATGCTAAGGTCTAGGCCAGGAACGTTTTTACACATTACTTCAGGCTAGACCTAGAGTGTCATGGCATCATCATTTGGATAAAATCTATTGATGGTTGGCAGTGTCTCTGGTCCCTGAGGTCCTGGATTCAAATCCCGCCAATCACCAAATTATCAATGGATTTTATTCAAGGAATAATGCTGCAACCCCTAGATCTAGCCTGAAGTAATGTTAAAAACGATCCTGGGCTAGAACCTAGCGCGTCCTAGGAGAAAATTGTTGTTTGGAGGGATTTGAAGCTGGACCTCGGAGACCAAAGCCCCACACTCTACCACCAGGCCAGGACAGTCCCCTTGCTGTCATATTGAAGTGACAATAGCTCAAGGAGCATGAAGGTTCAACATTCACTTGTTTAAAAGAGTACTCTAAAACTAAGTGGGGGTAATTAAAACCCATTTTTGTAGCCCCTGAGCTGTTGGATATAATGTAAGACTAAATTACTTATGTAATCCTTTTACAGCTCAACAAAATATGTGAATTTAGGATAGTCTGCTACCTTTGCGGTCGGTCAACTATTGTTAGAACTGGCCTGTTTTTTTTAATATTTCAATTGTGTTTTTTTGAATTTTATTGTAATTTTGTTCGTACTCTATTGTGTTTACCTTTTGACAATGTTTATTACTAATTAACCCTACAACTATCTGAGGCTGACAATGGTGTTTTACACCAAAACATGTTCTAAATTGACATATTTTGTTGAGCTGTGATGGGATTATGTAAGTAATTTAGTCTTACATTAATTACGGTTGACCTAAATCTTTTGTCTCAAACCTTGTATTATTTGATTACAGGTGGGAAGTTTTACAATGGCTGTGTGCGCAAAAGAAATGAAGAAGCCCTTCTACGTTTTGACCGAGAGTTTTAAATTTGCTCGCCAATTTCCTTTGAACCAGAGGGATCTTCCTGACCAATATAAGGTAATTCTCACTAAGTTTCATTAGAATCCCTCATATCCGTAGAATCTGGGATCACTCTGTGATTATTATGGTGAAAAGGTAATACAGTAGATCCCCTCTTAACCGTCCCTAACGGGACCGGACGTAGGTCAGATAATCAAAAAGGTAAGCGCTATTCACTTCAAGTCATATAATCATTATTCTGAAGCCGTGCGAGCATTATTTACTAAATTAACTACACTTATCTCTTTTTTTATAGAAAAGTCACAAATAAACCCATAACACGGTTATGTTAAAAAAGTGGAAGAACTTATGTAGGCAAGAGTCAATAAAATTTCTTATTTTATTACCTTTAGTAATATCATTGACTACTGGATACTGAAGTAGACGTCGCATCTATATGGACCAGCTGTAGCCATTTTTTTTTTTAAAAAGAACTTATTAGAGCCAGACATAGAATGCGCTAGTGACTAAAACTCTATATTCTACCTTATTTTTTGTCGCGACTAAAACTCTATTTTCTACCTAATTTTTTGTCACCGGCCAAGTTGAAAGGTCATAACAGTTGCTATACTCACAATAAGTCATTCCATTAGTTTGAATTAGTAAAAAAGATTGAGTATTTGACAGAAATATGTAATTTAGATCAGCACAATCTGTCGATGGCTCACATGAACTACGACCATTTTGGTTAAAAAACTGACTACAAATTTAACATGGGGATGGATTGTCTAGTTGTATTTTGAGTATTTTTTTGTATTTTCGAGTCGCATATGAGATATGGACTTGTAGCATGGGGTGGAACCTCTGCCACTAACATGCAAAGAGTTCTCAGAAAACAAAAAAGGCAGTCAGAATAACTGCAGGACTCCACAGACTCGACAGCTGCAGGGAAGCATTCAGGTCACTCAAAGTACTTACCCTTGTAGCACTCTACATCCAGGAAGTTGTGTTATTTGCAATAAGAAATAACCCTACAAGGCGTGGCGAAATGCACCCACACAACCTGAGAAACACCATGCAGTACAACCTTCCACAACATCGCACGGCACAGTTTGAAAAGAAACCTTCATACGCAGGAATGAAAATCTACAACAGGCTACCTCCAGATCTAAGAAGCAAGTCAGAAGATGACCTCAAACCAGCTTTGCATCAATGGCTCATTAATCGACCTTTCTATTCCTTAGAAGAATACCATCAACAGGTCTTTGACTAAACAACACCTCAAATTGTAAATTGACGCTACTACTATTCTTAATGAATGTGTAAATAAAGATTAATTGTCTATTGTCTATTGTCTATTATATATTAATAGTCAAAGGTAATATTAAATGGTGATTTCCAAATCCATCGTAATACCGTACAGAACTGATAGTCAAAATTATAGATACAAGCAACCATTTTGTTACGAGACAGGTTTTTTTATAGCCTCTCAATGAATAACTTATTCTTGGGAAACAAAACAATATAGATGTAGGGTGTATTGTTGCGTATTGTTTCCAATGCCGAGTGTGGGAGCGGAAATGTCGAGATTCCAGGAAAGTGGCAGTTAAACCGAACTACTCTCAAAAGGAGATTGTTAAACATAAACTGTATTATTTTACGAGTGAGGGCGGATACTCCAATTATTGGTTAATGCGAGGTCGGTTAAGAACCACTACTACTATTTAAGAGAAGAACTACCATTGGGTGGAGTATAAAACTTGGACCAGAAAAGCAATAAAGTAGTGACAATAAGCAGTGTTGGGAAGTAGCGCGCTACAAGTAGCGACGCTACAGTAGCGCGCTACATTTTTTGTAGCGTTAGCTGTAGCTACGCTACTTTTAAGATTTTGTAGCTTTAGCTGTAGCTAGCTACATTTTTAAAGTAGTTGTACCGAAATTTTAGCTACTTTTCTCGCTACATTAACATTGTTTGAGATAGTGATTTTTATCATAAGCTCAACCTTACGTGAAACAACCTCTTTCTCAAACTGAGATTTTCAAAAAAAATTAGGCCTACTTTCTTGGTTTCACACAGCTGGTTGCAGCCGTTTCATTCCCTATCACAACGTTGTGTGGACATGGAGGCCATTAAATGAGTGTACACATTTTTGTCTCTCATTTCCTTAATGTACTACTCTATGATTACTGTCAGATAAATAAAATCGCTAGATGCAGACGACGTTTAAACGTTACCGGTGACAAGAGAAGCTATAGAATGCTTGCAAGTGATAGACAGGGAAATTAGTAATAAATTTAGTTTCTTTAATTATTATATCGTTAGTGTTTCAACTTGGGTTTTAAGGAAACCAACCCTAAACCTTAAAATAATGTAAAGCTGGTCTATCAACCTTTGCTTCAGCTGTTGATTGTGGTTCATCATTCATAACAAGCCCTTCCTTGGTTAGATTACGAAGATTTTTCAAAGGTTTACTAAATTAACAAAGAGGAAATTACCTGATGAGATTTCGATTTAAGATAACTTATGCCTAGACTACATGATAATTGTGACAAAAAAATCTCCATATAACATGAAACTTACATTGAAAAAAACAGCTCTTGTATAGGACTATTTCTAGGCTATACTATGGTTTAAGACGAATACCAAGTTCCAAGTCCATTTATTAGGAATATATCTGTTTAGTCCTTGCAAGAACAAGCCTACTATAGCCAACTTGTTACATAGCCAAGGCCTACATGTTATTTTTACTTTACAAATATCAACATGTTTAAATTAAAAGCCGATTTCAGGATAAGTTGCTGAATGCTGTTTTCTGTACCAACTAGGTTGAAGCACAATTTGCCCTATGCATAATGACAATAAAGGACGATTTCTTGACTTGACATTGAAAAGTGTTATTCGTAGAACAAGTAACTTATCACTATGGTTAAAAGTTATAGCAATGTCGTTTTTCACATTAAAAGTAAAGAAAGGCAATAAACTCCAATTTCAGTAGGCTTGGCTCTGTAACACAAAAAAGTATTTTTAAATAATCGTTTCGTTTTACACTTTATTGGTCTTAATTTTTGATATAAGACATCTATAAATGAATCTATATTAAAGAAATAATAAAATGAGCTTTTAAAATATCGTTTGGTTGTATGTCCTTTGAACTTAATGAAATTTACATATAAGATGCTTAAAAATAATGCAATATTTAAAAACAAGTACTAAATATGATATGGGACACCCAACTATTTGGTTCTGTTGTTGTAATGTTAGGTTTATAATGCCAACAAATTAAATACAATCTAGGAATAATTTGTTTTCCATGTAATGTTAGATACAATACTGACATTTTTTGTTTAAATGTTTTTTCTGATAAAAAATGTAGTTGCAATTAATTTTACATTCACCTAATGTGCGTGGAATAAAAAGTAACGTCTTTGGAAAAGTAGCTAAAATTGTAGCTGTAGCTACATTTCATTGTAGCTGTAGTTGTAGCTAGCTACTTTTTCGGAACTGTAGCTGTAGCTGTAGCTAAGCTACTTTTTTGGAAATGTAGCAGTAGTTGTAGCTAGCTACATTTTGAAAGTAGCTTCCCCAACACTGACAATAAGTCAAACACAATGTTTACTTTGAAAACAAATTAGGTTCATGATGATTCAAATGAATTCAAGGGTCAGGAAGGACCTTGATTTCTTAATGCTGAATGGGTATGGTAATAAATATTTCGAATTATAGAGTTAAAGTTTGATTTATCGAGGCGTAATACCGAAAACTTGAGATATTGAGGTGTTGAATTTTGCCAGTGATGTTACGTCACAACCTTCATAACTCATCACTAAATCTTTGTAACTCTAGCTCTAGCTCAACCTATTTGTATATATTAAAGAGTAAACTGTAAAAGAAAGATTAACAATTTATTTGCAATGCATGGTACAGTACTGTATTTAAAATGTAGTGATTGTAATATAGTATGAACATAAGTCTAACCTTTTGCACGGTATAAACCAAGTTTACAACAAAAATAAAGAGACGATAAAAAAAAACTAGAATACACTAACAAAGAAAAAGTTACTAGTAAAAAGCTACTCAGCACGAAGTTGTGCTATCACCAGATGTTGGAGCTCAAAATGTTCAGTTTGGACATTGTTTGGTTAAAACTACATGTAGGCCTGATGATATCACAACTTAGTGCTGAAACCTAGGACAGAAAGGTATTCCATATATTAGTTTATTTTTGCTCTTGTCTACTAAAAAAGCACTTTTAAAACTTGAAGTCGGTGTTAGTTTTAATGCTTTTAAAGGTGCGTTCTACCTCAGCTCGGAAATATCAGCTCGGGCTTCAGTTGCTATGTTGCACCATTGGACAGTGCCGCGAGAAGCGCTTGCAGAGGTTTCCAGAATTACTGTTTTCGAATTAACCAATAATGATAGCTACACACTCTAAACGGCTTATAGTAGTTCAAATACCATTCTATAGTTCTGCGTTTTTCAAATTTTCAAATAAAGTTTATTCAATAAGTTATGGCTTGTTGAAAAGACCTTTTTTCTTGTCCTACAAATCAAGTTTATAAGGTGTGTATTAAAAATAAATAAAATAATGAAACGCAGAACTATAGAAAATTTCATCCTCTTTAATATGAGACCTTAACTTTGATTCTACCTCCAATGTAGCAGATGAAAACAGTAATCTTGCAAACCCTTGCATTCGGTTGCGTGTCAGGGGTAGAGCGCACCCTTAAGGGAAAGCGGTCAAAACCTAGTTTTGTGGATGTGCCTGGAATCGAACCCTCCCTCCTGCACCGAAGTCCAAAACGCTAACTACTAGACTAGCAACACTCTTAAATCTTGTACAGTTTGTACTTTGCCTGTATAAATAAATGATTTTTCATTTCATTCATTTCATTTCATTTCATTTCATTTCATTTCATTTCATTACAGTTTAATAAAACAGGTAAGACTTAAACTGACATCTGGTAGTAAAATATTAACACTAATAACAAAACAGGTTTAATTAAAAAAACCATATCACAATGAATTATCACAGAATAAACAGTTAAGTTGGGTGGGGTCCATACCCTAAAATTATACATAAAGATTAGATTTTAAAATTATTTATATTATAGCCAATCAAGATTTTCCAAGTCTGAAACCAGCGCTGTATTCTTTACTTTCCTGACTACTATTGTAGTTTGTTCCAACCACTATGCGACAATTAGTCACGTTGTATCCGTAAATAAATAATAAGGGAAAATCAACACTCCCATCAATTATGAATCTGTGCTTGGTTTCCGTGAGGAGGCTTCCAATGTTACACACAGGTTACCATTAAATACCTACTGATCAATGACAGATGCCTGGACAAATACAAATCTAATAATTATAGGCAAGAATATTTTAAATCTTTTATTAAAAAAACAAACATTTACCAAGCCTACCTTATTAAAAATAACTCTTACGCATAGGAAACATGGTAATTTCAGTTAGGATATAAACTTTGAAAAATACCGAATTTATCAGTTTAATTTTCAGTCTTACTAGTTAAGTATCAAATAACAATTTTCAGTCTTTTGTTATAGTATTTAGAATGATTTATGAAGTGACTTGTTTTGGCTATGTTTACAGTAATAAAACATGTCTCACACTGCTTACACTTAACAAAACTGCTCATCATTTGCAATGTCAAAACAAAAAATTATAAAACAATATTTACATGTAAATAAAGAATTAATTAAATAACAACACCTTCGCAAAGGAAACGCAACAACAATGCGCTCCTGTATTGCGGGTATTATGTTAACTTTCTGCAGGCGTTTTTAACAGTTTTTTTTTATCTCGTCTCAAAAAATCTTGTCTTGTTGAACAAGATTTAAAATTTCCCAAAAATTATAGAAAAATTTGTGTTTAGTGTTACAAGAGTAACCATACTTGATGTGCCTCTTTCTAGGAACAGATTAAACATTATTTTGATCTAACCACTCCCCCCACAACCCCTATTATTCATTTTAAGCCTGAAGAGTCACTTTTGTGAGTCACCGCTCGCACGGTGAATTCCGTGAGTTTGTCACCTATGGTGTGACTGCTTTTGTTTCCTATATTAAAAAAATATGTTTACTGTTAATAAAAGTTGCTATTCATTAAATGTACAATTGTATTGATTTTACGTGGTTTTGATACCTTTTTGTGTCCGTGAACATGATGACTTGAGTAATTTTTGTCCGATTTTGATGAAATTTGGTTTAAAAGTGTAAAGCAGAATACCTTAAATGAGTTCCCAAACCAGCATGATCAGACCATGGGAACGGGGTTTTATGGGGTAAAAAAATTGTTTTTCTCATTTTTGATCCTCGAAACACAAAATTTCCCAATTTCTCTCTAGATATTTTTAAACAGCTTAAAAAAATAATTTAGTATATCAAAGTGTTTTTGTACAGTTATTGGTAACGGAGAAAATTCAAAAAGTTGTAAATTTAAAATTTCCATGTTATACTTATAGAGAATATTGAAAAATGTTGTAGTTTGCTTGTTTATGGATATATTTTGATCAAACTTGGCAAATTTATTCATTTTATACTAAACTATTAATATTTTACTAAAAACACACTTTATAAGTTTCCTTGTAGCAGCAAACCTAGGTACTCGTTAACCCTAATGTTATTTAAATAGATTTAATTGAAAATCATTTCAGACAAATGGAAATTAGCTTAGTTGGCAGGTTTGCTGCGGCGGGGGTATTGTATTAATATTGTGGTACATTATTTGTCTAATGTTTCAATAGCCAGAAAAAACTTCTTGTGTCACCAATTAACGACACCCATGAAGGTTAAAATAAGGTCACCAACTCAAATAAAACTAATAATCATAGTTGGTGATCATTTTGAAAAGCTAGAGTATCATTATTTATTACCATTACAGTAGAACCTTGATTAACCATCACCCTTTTAACCGTCACTCTTTGTTATCTGTCACCCCGCTACAGTACAGTAGACTCCCTCTTATCCGGACTCCTCGGGACCGTGAACGGTTTTTCCGGTTAAACCAACGTCCCCAAATCTCGTTAAAACGGACCGTTTAAATGCATACTCTATACAGTATTTGACTTAAAATTATGAGAGCATTGTATTTAGACACGTAATCAATGGTCTCAAATTTTCCCACGAGAAAAGTTGTTTCAGTACCACCCACTTCCTGCCGATCTAGTACGGTAAACCGATGTGCTGATAAAAATTATCCGGATAAAGAGATGTCACTTCTACCGAGTGCAGTCCGGTCAAACCAATGTCAGGTTAAAAGGTGTCCGAATAAGAAGGAGTCTACTGTACTCTGTTATCCGTTGTAAGAAAGAACTTGCCTAAGCAACGTATAGACAGGATGTTGCTGGCTGCAAGTACTGTCCACTACGTCACTTGTCGTAGTTTTCCTATACACCAAGTACCATCAGCAAGTGACAAGGAAAGAACTTGCAGCCAGTCTACTTTAAGGACACAAGTGAATAGTGTTGATAGTCGAATTTAATTGTGTTGAGCATGTCTGATTGCGATGAAGAATTTTGTCAGCATAGTTATTTTTTCAAAATTAAAAAGTATGTTCCACAATAATTCGTAGTTTTTAAAAATCTGTAAATATTTGGTGATGTCATCACAGCTCCATTTAATGACTTTTTTATTCTCAGCAGGGCCCTTGTCTGACATTTTAACCAATCACACTGTTACTTCTATAAATACGATAAACTCAATAATTTCACTTGCCACTCTGCTCTACTGGCAGCAAGTGTATGGCAAGTACACGTTTTGACAGGAAAGTTCTGGCCGCCAGTGGTCACATGACCCACTACTTGCCGCGGCCAGGCCAGTAAAATCAAACATGTTTGAGTTCTCTTGCTGCCAGCAAATACTTGCCGCTGGAAAGGTACCCCTATACACAAGGTAAGTAAGCAGTAAGTGCAACTGGCAAGTACTTGCAGCCAGCAACTTGCCGTCTCAACTGTCCCAGTCTATACGCTGCTTAACCGTCACGCTCCCGGTCCCGAGGGGGATGGTTAATAGAGGTTCTACTTGTACTGTGTGTATTTTAATCCAAATATGAATAAAAGATGAGTGTAGAAAGGAGTGAGATACAATGTGCTTTCTTACTGACTAAGATCAGCTGTTTATCTAACCAGCTCTACGATCAAGGACTTCTTGGTTCAGTGTGGAAGCATCAAAAGCTACGGAATATTCTCTGGATTGAATCAACGACCTTCTGGTTGTTTGATGAAGACTATAACCACTCCTGGCTATATACCTATATAATTACTATCTGTCATGGAGTTGCTCATGCAATTACGTTATTTAATAGTATTTATGTTTATTTATGACATTGATGTTGATTTTTTTTTGCAGTACCGATCGAGTATCCTCGGAGGAGATCTTACCAAGGAACACCCCCTTGTAGACTACACACCGCCCGCCTACATAACATTACTCTTTACCGATCTAGGGATACTCACACCTTCTGCTGTCAGTGACGAACTGATAAAACTTTATTTGTAATATTGTACTTTAAGTATTAAATTTTATTTGTTTTGTTAATGCCTTACTGTATTTTTTCTAAACCAAACTATTGCTAGGTTATGTGCTTTCCAACCATAAGCATTCACGTAACCTTAAAGATACAGTTTTCCCTTGATAATCTGACGTTCTCAGTAGTTTGACAGTTTCATAGGCAAAAACAAACTTTTTCATCTACTGTATTAAGATTTAGAGGTTAGGTGAGATCAGGCCAGGTTGTATTGACGTGGTAACTGGTAACAGGCTGTTAGAAGAACTCAGAAGAATGGGTTCCACCTAGTATTTTGGTGTCAATATAGTTCAGAATGTCAGAATAGTTCAGTTCACTAAGAACCTTTCCATGAAAATAGTGTCATAAAAAACTGACGAAACATACGAAAAAGTTTCGGCTGGAGTTCAGTCGTTCACTTACTACGAGCAGTGTATCCACTCCACACGACCTTGTACTAGTTTTTCTTTGTGTGCAATCTGATCCTAAACAGTTATTAGGACTGGATTAGGAACTTAATGTGGCACCATTTGTAACAGACGTGCGTGGTAGCGGCGCATGTCTGACGTCAAGATGATTAGCTTAGAATTCTCAATCCCTCTCAAGTGTAGCCTCTCTTAATTGAGCGTTATTTTAGTAAATTGTGGGCTAATTGTTAGCTGAATTGTACGTGCAGTGTTGCCACTTTTAGGGTAATTACTTGAGTAATTTTTGTCCGATTTTGATGAAATTTGGTTTAAAGGTGTAAAGCGGGATAAACTTGAATGAGTTTGCTAACCAGCATGATCAGACCACGGGGCTTTACGGGGGGTTTTATGGGGTAAAAATTGGTTTTTCTCACTTAAACACAAAATTTCCCAATTTCTCCATAGAACTTTTTAAAGATCTTAAAAAACAAATAATTTAGTATACAAAAGTAAAGTATTTTTGTTCGGTTATTAGTATCGGAGAAAATTAAAAAAATTGTAAATTTAAAATTCCCATGTTCCTTATGGAGAATATTGTCAAATGTTGTAGTTTGCTTGTTTATGGATATATTTTGATCAAACTTGGCAAATTTATTTATTTTGTACTAAGCTATCAATATTTTACTCAAAAACACACTTTATTATTTTCCTTGTAGCAGCAAACCTAGGTACTCGTTAAACCTAATGTTATTAAAATATATTTAACTGAAAATCAATTCAGACAAATGGAAATTTGCTTAGTCAGCAGGTTTGCTGCGGCGGGGGTATTTTAGGGTAGTTACCTACCCTTTTCTTTTCAGGGTAATTTACTAGTCTTAGAGTAAGTGCTAGTAAGTTTAGGGTAGGTAATGGTGGATTTAGGGTAAAACAAAAAGTTAGCATAAAAATGGAAATTAAACTAAAAACATGAAAAAAAACTTAACAAAGTGTATAACAATAACATACGTTACATATCATGGCAAAACCGTAGAACCGGTTGAATCTATTTCTAATTGCTATGATAAATTTTCCTTAATAATCGATCTTATCAATAGGGTTGAATTATCTGTTTCAGAAAATATTTATTCTCAACATAATTCCATAAAATCTCAACAAGGATGCTGGATAAGGCGAACCCATGGACAATCCGTCATTCTGTGAAAATATGTCATCTTCATATTTAAAATAGTTCTTTTTAAGATCTGGTCAAAATAATCAGTTCATCAATTGTAGCATTGTTAAGAGAAAAATTATTACACAGGTCATCTTTCAATATTTTCTGTTTCGTCAACTGGGATGTTTGTGTATAGATTTACCACATCAAAAGAAGCTAGCTAGTAATTGCCTTTCAACTGTGTATTGGCAATTTTATTGACTAAGTTAGAGCTGTTTTTCAGACTTGTTTTTATGAAATTTGCATAATACAATTTTCATCAAATGTTCTACGAATTGGTACCATGCATTTCTTGGAAATACTAAAAAAAGCAGCAATATGAAAACCCCTGTTTACAATGTATTTCTTATGGAACACATATATGTACAAACGAGTAAACCTACATTTTTTCTTACGAGATTGCAAACCAGCATGATCCGACTATGGGAACGGAATTTTAAGGCATTAATTTTGTTTACCTCCCAGAACTTAAAATCCAGAGATTCTAGTTGAGGGGATTTTAAGACAATGAACGGGATTTCGCTCTGTTAAAAGATAAAAGATAACGCAATAATCTATTTAAAATGGTTCTAACCGTCACTTATCTATACATAGAGTGGAGCAAATGAAGCTCTTATACTGCACTCATGCTATTTTCACTAACCAGGTGACTATCCGCACGTCAAAATGACGTCACAACCTGTTCCCATTCAAATATTACAAAAAAATGCAAAGGATGCAAAAAATACTCACATTTAATTTCGGTGAAGGGAGGTTCCTTTAATATTTGTGATTTTGAAGCATTAAAAAAATGTATAAAAAACTATGCATTAAAAACTATAAAGGTAACTGGATTAGGAACGTGATGTGGCATTAATTTTTAACAGATGTGCGAATAGCCTCTGCCTTTTACAAATACTACTTTTGAACTGCTGAAGTAATCAGCACGAAGTTGAGCATAGTCATTGTAACAAACTATGGGAAGGTAAAAATCGTAACGGTAAATGGTTCAAAACGGAATACAGGGATTTCCCTTCGCGAATTTAACCTTTTAGAAATTTTACATGGGACCTAGGAGTATATTCCTTGTCATGATGACAGTATTTGCAAGATAATGGTTATCAGCAAATCAATAATCTAAACTAGCACATTACATATACAGAACTAAAGGGAAGAAAAGTCGGATTAATACCGTTGAGTATAATTAAGTACAACATTAATAACCATTTAGGCGCATATGCACCATTAAAACTTAAGAGTCTGCAAATATGCAGTGAAACAAATATGCCATTGACTTTTGCTATGCAATGAAACATCTCATTTATGTGAACCAGATCAGCATTGATACTGCAAGTGGACCTCCCGTTGATGTATACCGGATACACCATTGCCTTTGGATACTGCAAATAGACATCCCATTTATGTAAACCAAATAATGGATGATTTAGTTTAGGTACTACAAGTAGACATCCCATTTTCGTAAAACCAATGTAAAACGGACTTTGGAAAAATATTGGATTAATATGTTTGCAGTCATAAGCAGACAACTGCATTGAACACCTAGTTTAAGCTGATTATTATAGCAAGGGTAAATGGTAAAAGATCTGTTTTTTTTAACATATCTTGTCAAAAAGATATACTTTATGGGGAATTCAGGTATAAGAAAAAATTCATGTAAAATTTAACAGGAATTTTATCATCACGCTAAGCGGTTTTGGTTAATGGAACATGGTGGATGGGATATTCGAATAAAAAAAACTATTCGTTATTCCATAGCAGCTAGAGTCGTTTGAATATTTTTTTTGTTAGATTTTGATATTGGTTTAAAGAGTTTGTACGTAAAGTACCTATCATTGTCAACTATTAGTGTGTTTCGTTCGAATATTTTTATTTGAACACTATTTTGAATAGATTTTAACAACAACTAGTTTAAAGAATTATTAAGTAAGCTACTTATCTAACCCATCATCACAGCCAGCTATTTGTTTGTTTTGTTTGAATGAATTTTATTTAATGACTTCTTCTCGGTTTTTAAAAGAGATTCTGTTGGCATAAACTTAGACTGTCTGTAATCTTTTTTTAAATACATTCTTTGAATATAGCCTACTTCATTTGTTATAATCAACCACAAGCCTGCAATTGCCTTATTCTGTATTACAAAAAATGAATGTGATCATGTAAGAAATTCAGTTAGATTTTCATTCCTTAACAATATTGATAGGTATAATTCCTTTTAATATAAAGTATATTATTTTTATATTTAACCTTAGTGTAATAGTAACTTTTTTAGTGTATTTATTTCTAGGAATATGAATATCAATTATTTTACTTCTTATTAGTGTTGAAAATATTCGATACACAATAATCCTAGTAACATCACTAAAAGGTACCACTGCTTGAAGCCTAGCACGCGGGAATACTGTTATAGGAACAGGGGAGAATAGGTTGTAGGGATTACCTTCATTATTATAAGCCAATCATCGGCCTCAGGTAAGAGGCACGACTCTCGGCTTTTCAAACAAAATAAGTATCATCATTTGACGACACCAAAAAGTCATTCTAGCTGAAGATTTTCACTAACTGTTAGCCACAAACTACACTCTAACCCAGAAAGGTAATGAAAATCACGGCGAGAATCATCTGATGTGCAGTTGGAATTCTTCTTACCAAGATGTAATTAATGAAAACATTTATCAAATAAAAGTTATTCTATATTTCTTAGTTATAATTATGAAGTTATTCAGGATAATTAGAAATAATAATATAGTAAAATCTTTGATAATAATACAGCAAACTACACTGGTGGCAAAGCGAACTGCTAGCGCAACCTAGCGGCGAATAAACAAACTAATAGGGCAGTTGCCTCTCATTGCCGCAGAAGCGCTAGCAGTTTCGTTCTTCTCCTGAGTTGAGATAAAGATAGACTGTACTACGATTTAATAACAAGTAAAATTAATCTGATGAAATGATTTAATTAATAAACTAGCAGCCAGTGTCACTTCGTGACTTCAAAATCCGTAACATATTCCAATTTACAATAATTGTGAATTGAAAATCCTATCAAAACACAAAATCTAACGAAAGTAATTTTCTTCTTTAATACAAATACCATTCCATAATTGTACTTGAATCCACTAAAACATCACCAAATGTAACGATAACCCCATTATTGTATGGTTGTAAACCAAAATTAATTGTATCATGACCATATGTTTTAATGTAAACAAAAACTTGAAAAAGTTCACACGATTGAAAACAGTATTCATCACAAACTGAAATAATTTTTAAAGCCTATATGACAAAGAGCTTTTACGGGATATCACCCAAACCTACAAAAGGCACATTTTGAGGATAAGATCTTTAAATTGATATCCAATATGAATATGAAAATAAATACATGTATTTTTGCATAGAGTTTATTTCATAAAAGGAA